CAGATTCAGAAATCTATCTTCGAAATGATATCTAATTTTTCAATCGATTCAAAATGCTTTCGAATATATCACATCATCAAACCTAATTCTAATAGAAGATAAATCATATGACGAACCATAAATAAAATAACCTATTTGAAAAAATAACATCAGAATACGAGAAAGTATCGTTCATTATTATTCTCATAAATATGAGTCCACAAAACCAACCGAACGTAAATTATCGAAGATAATCATATATTCGAATAGTAGATTTTCGTTACTCTCGCGAAATAAATCTATTGCTATTAGAAATTCGAGATCATATTAAAAATGAGCCAGATGAAAAATAAAATCGAGGAGTTCCGATAATCGAACAAACAATCTCTCGCACCAGAGCGCCTCTTTAGAAATCTATAATGACAGACACTTTCTCGGGCTTATTAGGATATCTAGGCAGGCTTTAGTTCGGATGAGTGTGCTGACAAGAGTAAAGGCGAGTGCAAGAGAAAATATTAGATATTAAATACAAGCAAGTGAGTAAGAATTATATCATTTAGATTCCTTCCTTTATGAATTCATATTTCTTTATTCCCTGACATTTCCACCGCTATCTGAGAAACCGTATCCATCCATAACATATGTCAACTATCGGGATGTGTGGAGGGCTATAACTATATTGATTGATGAATATTCGGTAAAGATTACATTAAAAATATGCATTATTCTAGTGTACTTCTGTTCGATTATTAAATCGACCCAGCTCCTTGTCTAAAAGCTGAAAGTGACACAGGCAACAGTAAGCAGCATGGTGCCCGAATGGGGTGATGACGTCCCCAACTTGCATGTTCGTGACAGGCCATCCTTATCCAAATGACTGCACTCCTGTCATCTTTTCGCATCGCAACTCGTCGGGTCTATTTGAGCAGCTTGTGCCACCTTGGCCACGCGAGCAGTCGTTGCCAGAGCAAGGCGAAGTACACCACTCCTCAGACCCCGGGCAAGAAGCCACCCATCGTCTTCTCGAGTTCCAGCACCAGCTTACGACCGCCGTCTTTGCCCTGGCACATTGGTCACGAGCCTTTGAGGATCCTTCTTGTGCAGGCTGTATTGGCACACTTTTTCCTCCCGGCATGAATTCGGCAGTCATCCTCTGCGGTCGGCTGACTGTCGGCAGCCGCCGACTTTCAGCTGCTTGAAGCCTGTAATCCTTCGGTATGTTCTAAAGTCTGACTGTCGAGACTGCTGGGTGCAAAAATGCGCACGCGCGTCGATCGACGCTGGTGCAGCCGAGGTTCGTGTGCAAAGAGTTTTGCAGCTGAGCGATGGCTTCACCTGGAAAGATCTGGAAAGTGCTGACCTTTTCCTTCTCTCCCCCGCATGGAATCCCTTGTTCAGGTGAGCTGCGCGTTATGCGGTTTCCGCCTAGGTTCTCACAGGGTCGTAGCGATTCGAACACCGTGGCGCAGATGGTGAGCATGCCATGGAAATTCTTGTTCTGAGCCGAAACTCTGACGTCCATCTGCTGCAGCTTCGGTAACGGCTTTTTCTGAAGCCACTCTGCCAGCCTCAGCTTAGCACAACATCTCTTCTTGCAAAACACCAGAGTGGGCAGTCATCACTTGAGGTAGATGGGCTTTGCTCTTGTGGACTTGCCGCAGGCTCAGACTGCTCCCCCGACGGTAGGACCCCTCAATGCTCCCAGCGACATCGCTGTGCCTCTGTCGTCCAATCTTGCTTGCACGAGACCTTGGAGCGCTGTTGCACGGTACAACAAACCGGCCATGTCAACGTCGCTTCTCTTGGAGCATCTTCGCAGAGCTCTCGTCTGGTGTGCATGCGTGGCCATCGAACACGGCCAGCCAAGTTGCTCAAGCATTCCAAGCAAGGGAGGTTGAGGACAGGTAGCATGACCATAAGGTTCGAACCTAAGCCAAGTCGTGTTGTTTTAAAACCCGTAGCTGTTTGTGTCCGGAGCATCGTGGCACTTGTAGTTTGCTCGCAAACTCACGTTCCAATGCGCGAGTGTTCACCGTACTGAGTTTTGCGCCATCTAGTGACGAAGCACCCAAATGTAGAACACGCAGTGTTGACGGCAAAGCTGCACAAATAGAGCCTTGGCGGCAGTCATGGGATGCGAGACCGCCGGATTCGTTCACCTTGATAACAGCCCTTCAAACACCCTGTTCCATGCGCTCAAACATATGGCACTCGGCCACTCGGCTATGCAACAAACCAGCTCGTGGTTTCTATAGGCTTCAGGATGCAAGCTAAATCCGTCCGACATCCCCCTTCCGTTCAGCAGCGGAGCAGAGCATTGCTTGGTCGCTGCCGAGTAAGTTTGCATTCAAGTTGATCTCTTCGAGGCCTGGTGCAGATGTCGCAAGCTGTCCTGAGCAAGGACAACCTGTGGCACCCTCAAAAGCGACCAGAACATGATCTGTCTGCGAACCTCGACAAAAGCCTGATGCTCTGCCGAGTTGCCGAAGGAGCTCGGCCTCGTTGCGGTTGCAAGTCTTAAAATTCTAAATCTGATACTAAAACGTCTGCATTTTTATCAAGGACTTCTGAAGGACACTGTGCAGCAAAAACTCTGTGTGCATGCCAGGGTTCGAGAAGTCCGCCTGGAACATGTCAGTGAAGCTCGCACCAGGCATAAGAATGCTTAAGGTTCCCTGCGTTAGACTTGCAGACCTGTGTTCAACCGCATGCACTGCTTGTCAGATGCTGTCAGATCCCATGATTGTCGCTGGCAGGTGACAGTTGCGAACTGGTTCTCCGCCAGGCTCAGCATGTTCAGCTTCGGTAGGGGCCTGGAAAACTCTCCTCTCGCGACTTCCTGCACTGGGTCCAAGAACACCGTCCAAAACAGCTTGGGCTGCAGCGGGAGTTGATCCAGAAAGTCTTTGACTCCGGCAGGGCCGAGTTTGTTCTGCCTTGGCTCACTTTCCCGCAGAATTCGTGGACGAAGACAATCGCTTTTGCCTCCCTGCACACGCTTCTTTTGGCGCACAGTGAAGGGCCGAGTCAAGACCAGCACATGCAACACTAGTCCCTGCTTACAAAACATCAGGGACCAAAAGAGCTGGCAACCATCCGCCGTCATCAGGGCATGGCAGGGCAGGCTCCAGCAAGCTTCGATGTAAGTTGAAAGCTGCTCATGGGCCAAACGCCCTTACATGTGGCATCTCAACATCGGCTGCTTTGGAGGCAATCTGCCACGGCCTTCTGTACATTGCCTGTGCGGACTGTACGAAGTAGAGTCGACGGCTTCTTGTCTTGCTCCCCGTGAGCTGCAGGCTTGCTGCTGCCTGAAACGAGGAAGGCAAACAACCATTATGGTAACAGCAATACTCCTAGAAAGTAACAGCAGTCATTAGCAATGATTACAATAACAATGACACTTCATGCTCAAATGACGGTTCCTTAATAGGAGACAGATGAATTGAGTAAAAGTATACATGTGGCTCCCAATAGCCGTATTCTTGCCTCTACTAACATTTATTCCCGTGATTACTTGTAAAAGCTCATTACGTTGGTATACATTATAAATCATTGCTCACTGTTCCTACAAATTCTCATTATCATTATTGTTATTGTTAGTATCATTACTACTGTTATTGTTATGCTCGTTCTTATTCTTATTGTTGTTATTAGCACGACTATTGTGAGTAATAGTCTTAGTTTTGACTTCTGTGAGGCGGCCTGGCTGGGACAGGGGGGGCGATATCACTAAGCAATAGCGCATCAATTCAACTGCACTGTACCGCCAAGCAACGAAAGCCTTCTCTTGACAAGCGCTTGCATCTGACTCAAGTTTCGAGTCAAACGATAAAGTCCAGGCCAAAGAGTTTGCGCACTTGCTCCACCAATGCAGGCATCAAAAGGAACAGCGGTCCCACCTTTCACATGGGCTGCAAGTGCCACTGGACTGATTCTTGACTGTTCTTGCAATTGCTTCTGACATTTTGCAACAATCAACAGCTCCACAGGGGAATTGAACATCTCAGCTTCGCTCGCGAAAGCCGTGCCGAACCATGTAAACGATATGGTTGCTCCAATTGTTGCTGTGAGCTGGCAGGAGCTCTGAACTTTCTTGCAGCCGAGCATCTCGCATATAGGCTGGGAGCCATCCTCGAAAAAAGCCGGCAAGGCCACGATCACGTGCGATAGCAGAAACTGCCGAGATGATGTGGGTCCGTGTGGCACCGCCTTCACAGGGAGTTTCACGATATGATTGAGACACTTCTATGAAAAGGGCATGTGGCAGACTTGACATCTGAGCGCAGCGTACGGCTCCGGCCTTCTTGCATGATCCGTGTCCGCACAACATCTGCCTCGGCTCCCAAGCAAGTTTGTGAAAGACATGTGTCAGCCGCTTCGGCTCCAAAACTTGGTTGAAGCGAAGCAGGCGTGTTTCGCTCTTACATTAAAAGCAGACTTCACGCTCATGAAGATTTCTTAAAGCAAGCCCAAGAGACGGGAGCCGTGACCGTGGTTCCAGCAAGTCCTGCGACTACTCCCGCGCCGAGATGAAGGGCAGGAGAGTCTGCCACTCCCTGCGACTTGGCAAGGTGCTTGCTGTGCCTGCAGCGTCGGCAATGTGAGTGGTGGGATTCCCGTGGGTGGCTCCTTGCGTAGGGACTGCTCAGGTCGAGCGGGCGTGGATGGGCATGGCAGTGCATTGTTGTTGTCTCGATAAGTCCCCTTATTGAACATCCAAGTGCAGCATACTAGCGATACCAAATGAGTATTCTAATCCCTGCCATCACTTCTCACGCCTTTTGAATGAGCCGCCTTTCTTACTCTGTTTCAAACTAGGGGATGCCAGCATGCACCTTGGGCTTGGAGGCACAGTGCTGCCTGGCGGGCTTTGTTCTAGCATCTTTCCAACACCCTTTCAGGTTCGGGATGCTGCACTGACCCTTTCGATGTTAGAGCCAATTTAGGCATGCTTAGGTTTAAGCACATCTTCTTCTGCTTCTTCTTTGGATTTCTGGGCTGTTTATGGCAATTCGGGGTAGCATCCTCCTTCAAGTCTTAAGGATACTTCTGCCACCCTTCGCAGGGTCGTCCGCTTCGTTCGGGTTGCCCGTGCAAAGCCTTGCCATGCTTTCGAACTTGAGAGATGTCTGGTCACCCAGTCCTTCTTACGGCCAGTCGCAAGGTTGTTCTGGACATGTGTAGAACGGTGTCAATGCTCATTGAAAATGCCTGAGTCCACTCCGAGTTGCTCGTAGACCGGCACAGTGCCAACAGTCATGCACACGCTGCGAACCTTGGGGGGACCCGGCACTAGGCGCAGAGACATCAACATTGCCCTGCACGGCCTTGTATTCCACCTCAGCTCGGGGCGACGTTGATGCCCGAGCCTCTGAAGATGTTGAGGACACCGTTGCTCAACACGGCTTTGAAACCCGACACCTCGTCGAGCGGCGCAAACAGAAACATGTGTGTCGCCGGATTTCATGCCAGAGGATGATTGCAGAACATGCTGGGCTGAGCATAGGATCTCGAAAGCTGAAGCAGAATGTTGTGTGGCAAAACCTGCTAGCATTCGACAGGAAGCCGTCCCGCGAATTCGTTGAGGTTGTCCGGCACAGAGTCCCGTCGTAAGCATTCCGCGATCACATCTGCCGGCTTCGGCTTGGACCCTCGCAGAAAGGCTCTTAACAGGGTGCAAACCAAACAGTAAGACTTAGTTATGCCGAACCACGTCGATTTGCGTCACTGCCAAGTGGCCTAATCCGCACCAAGTCGAAGGGCGAAGCAAGCAGGCCAGATAAAGCCCCAAGTACCACACCGGCACTGAATTTGCTGCCCAGGCCCGCCTCGGGTACCATCGGAAGATCTGGCAGCAAAAGGAGGAAACATCTGAGGGCTGCCAAGAGGCCTCCCCACCACTCTTCCCCTGTCCATGAGCACTTTGAACACGTGTAAACTGCAGGTGAACCTTTTGTGCTCTGCTCGTTGTCTCATTTCCTGTGTCTTTTCCGCACTCTTGGGGACTTCAGCTACTTAAGTTAGGCCGGTTACAAAGCATGATCCAGCTGTGTGATCGCCAGATCAGTTCGCTCCCACTCGATGCAAAAGCTGGTATCCTGTGCTGGCCTTCGCAACCATGGAGAGGCCGTCTCGAACTGCTGGATATGCCCCGATGCGGGTACCAACCACGGTGCACTCACGTCCTGGTATTCGCACGCATTCGCAAGACTGTGCCGGCTGCCTAAAAATCTTGTCGATTCTTGTCGATGTCCTAAAGACGCCAGCATGCCGGTGGACCACAGCGCTAGCAATCCTTCGATGCGCAGCTCAGTGACAGTGGCCATTCGGCAAGTACGACGCAGCCAGATCTCCTTCCTCCGCGAGAACACGCTGCGCGACCGTGAGAAAGCCGCCCGTGTAAGCTGGCACCGTGCAACCTGGAGACGGAATGCCTGTCGGGCCGCACGTGCCACAGTAAGGGTAAGGGCACATCTTGCTGGCACTCCGAAGATCGAAAGGCCTTGCATTCGGGTCTTGATGACATCTGTCCAGTTCAGGGCCAACGGCACAGCTGTGGCTGCAACCATCGCTGCGCCGATTTCTTTTGCAGGGCTCGCCATGGCACTCAGTGAACTTCAGTGAACTTCACTTCTGGCGTGACGTGCGGCGGTGGACGAGTACACTATATGAGTTTCGTTTCGCTTTTAGAGATGTAGCTGGTTGAGGTCGGCGTGCCGCTAGCTCCAAACTCCAAGTCATTGCAAGCCACATGGTGTTGCACAACCCTACTGGACTCTCTACTGGGATAGAGGAAGCTTGAGCAACAAGCTGCATTATGCGAATCATGCTCCCGCTGGAAAGATGCTTGAAAGGAGCCAAAACTCAAAAAGAGACTACAGGCTCCATGCCACCTATGCTAACTTAGGCTGAGTAGCCCCACGTCCAACCTTGAAATACTGTCGCTCATTGACCGCAGTAGGCGTGGCAGCACTTCCGTGTCGCTGGCTCCCAACCAATTGCCCCGCACGTTCAGCGACTCCAGCCGTAGATTCGCTTGCTGCAGGACTGCAAGCCCCACTGTACCCAGTCCATTCAGGGACAAGTCCAAGTGTTTGAGCGATGGCGGAAGTGCATTCGCAAGCGCTGCTAAGCCCACAGGACCAAGTCCGTTCCCAGAGAGTGCCAGGCTTCGGAGTTCTGAAACCCCGGGCAGCAGCTGAGCCAGTGCACCTGCCCCTTCCTCAGACATGGCATTTTGCGAAAGGTCGAGATCCGAAAGGGAGTTAAGCATTGGTGCCATTTGCAGCGCACGGCACAAATCAATAACTTCCGAGCCTTTTAAATTGCAGTTTCGCAGTCTTAACGATGTGAGCGGCAAAGGTGGTAGAAATTCGAGCAGGAATTTGACGATGCCGTCGTCGGCGTCGATGATGTTTTCCACATGAAAGTCCCGGAGACACATGCAGTTTCCAGCTGACTTCGGTAGCTCAGCCAGGAATGGGCCCGCACTCTTCCCATCTGCCTCGCCTGACCCTCGAAGAGTCAGCTGCCTCAAAGGAGCAACCGGAGTCGTCAGCAAGCTCCGCCATATCCCAGCAGCATGCAGCCAAAATGCTCTGGCTTCCGGCTCCGTCGAAGCTTGAGCAGCTTGACTGGACTGAAACACGACTTCACGCAGCCGAACGCAGTGAGTGGCAGCAGTTTGTGCCAGGCCCGGCGAAAGGTCCGGGCTGACGACCAAGCGCCAAAGATGAGCTGCTACCAGCCGCAGCCAGTCTTGCGCGAGAATGGTTAAAGCAAGTGCCTGCCTTTGTGGCAGCGATGACAGAACCCGACTCAAGACTGCAGCATCCAGCTGCACTAGCAGATCCATCGTTCTTCAGCTACTGCCCCTTGCTTCAATACTGCACTTCGAGAAGAAGCAGCCAGCTCTGATGACAGCTCACGAGCATTCACAATGCCAGATGCTCCTGCTCTTTGCTCTGCTCACCTTCCTCGTGCCAGCTAGCGAGTGCACAAAGCTCTAGAGCCTCCAGCGTCCAGCTGCTGCCCTTACGAAGCACGGAGTGAATTTGTCGACAAGCCAAGACGATGTGCTTCAGTACGAAAGCACACAGTGCGGCCTCAACATCAATCTCTCCGCAGAGGTTGCCGTCGATGACCGGCCGCATCTTCAAGAAACAGGTGACAAGAGACAAAGAAGATCTGTATCGACGTTAGCACACAGGCCCTGGATCCCATGCCATTTTGCTGTTTTCAGCGTATGAGCCCTACGAGTAGCTTCTGGACCGTGTTTCCACTGCTATGCCAAAACAGAGGTGGATCATGACTACGAGCCGTCTTGCTTGCCATGCCTCGTGGCCCTTGACATCGATTAGCAGCCGTGTTGGCTGCATCTTCACCTCAATCGCGCAAACGAAGATGTGTCTCTATGGGTGGGTGGGCGGGTGACAGCTACGAATAGTGAGCTGCTGGCAGTGATGTCTGTCTTCTGAGTGCTGGGTGGTACCTGTTGCCAGCTCTGCGCACTCTCGGTGACACATGGCCTCGACTTATTTTCACCTCATGTCAGCTGGACTCATGGCAGCAGCCGGAGACTTTCAATCGCAGCACGTCTGTTGTAGGCGCAGCGAGCCTCAATCTCGACGGTGACTTCGCTCTTGTTGTTGACCTTCTTTCACGTCAGTACACAAAGGACGCGTTCCTCTTGTTGCCAGCCTCGTGGAAAGTCCACGGACCTTGCTTCTTCTGTTGCCTTGAGCGAGACTGCAGGAAGGTGCTGAGACTGAAAGATATCATACTCAGGCGACTGGGGCCCCAGGCTGATGTATCACCTCCGATCCTGCTTGCTGGAGTCCCTGCAAGACGTCCCAAAAGGCTGATTCACTTGGGGGGATAGCAGCTAGTTACTCGCGCCTTCGCTCGATGCTCTTGCTTGCCAGTCTCCTGACCTGTCACCATCTTACAGGCGGTTTTTTCCGCCGACACGGGGAGCCTTCATTGCTGCCTTCCCCTTGCCCGCGAGTCATCCAGCTAAAGCGCTTGCCTCCAGTTCCTCCCGTCCTACATACCACTCTCCGCCCCCAGCCGCTTTTTCTTGCCGTTGCCCCTTCAGGGCCCAAATTGGTCTTTTTGACTTTTCAAACCTGGGAGGCCGAAAGCCCCGCTTGTCGTAGATGTTTGCGCGCCTAAGGGAGGGGGGCTTGAAATCGCGGATTTGGCGCCAGTGAACATGCCGCTCAAATGGGAGTTCAAGAGCTCAAGCAGGCAATCACAGCAGAAAAAGTGATAAACGATGTTCGCGCAAGCGATTCTCATGATACCGGCAGCCCGGGGTGCTTATGGGTCCGAGACCCTTCGGCTTCGCGCCTCGCTTGTGGCTGAACGGGTGGCACCTCACAAAGCCCTGTGCGGCGTGAGCTTTTTTTGCCTCTGGTCTCGCCCCCCAAGAACTACGAGATCGACCACTGAGCTGCACACCTTCTGAGCGAGTTGTCCTGCAAAGCATCAGCTAAACATGTACACGAGTGCGCTGCTCACGGCGCGACAGCCCGGACATGCAGCATCATGCAGTGCAAACGATGTCCTCACTCCTGCAAGACTCGTCCCGAGAGTCACCGCCTCCTGCTTTATGATGCCGCAGACGACTAAGCACGCTCAAGCCGACACTGCACTCTTTTGCTTCCCTCCTCGCGTTCGAACAATGAGCGAATCTGCTCAATGACATTCCTGCATCGAGCGCAGCTTCGGCTTGGATTTTACGCTGCTTTGCCCTGAAGCAATTGCCCACCGTGGCGAGCTTATGCCACAAAGACATGCATCGACAAACAAACAAGTTGCTATACGGTAGCAGATGGTAGCACCGAAGCTGGTCCACAACAGGAAGCCGCACCTTTCATTCGCAAAGTACATGCTCTGCAGGTCTTTGATTTGGTCAGAGACCTCCTTGAGGCAGGCTTCCTCAGCTCAACTCGGAACGAAGTGCTGCAGTTCTCGTTCTGCAGGCATGAGGAGTAAGCTGCTTTCTTCCGCCCTTCCTGCGACGGCCAGCTGCTGTGGAAAAACTCTGGCATGTTCAGCTCAGCTTGCTTACCCCCCGTTGCCTCTGAAGTCTCCTCGAGAGCTTTTCTGGTCTGGAAGACTCCTTGTCCCAAATCCTTGGAGCACTCGAGCGTCATGTCTGCTAAATGCGGTGCAAACACCCCTGGCTGGGAGACAGCGCCACCCAGAATTTCTCACCTGAGTATGCACGAACTACTCGCAATGTCGTGTGCATCCCGATCTATGCAATCGGGCACGGAACAGTCTAAAGGCAGGGTGAAGGCCATCACAAGGTTTGAACGGCATGCCGCATGCCTTTATAGCCGACGACACGACTCGGGTTTCCCCTGTGTGATATCGACCAAGGGCCCTGTGTTTAACAGCAAGTGGCTTGGTATCTTCGCACCTTCAACGACGCAGCCAAACTGCTTGTTTGGTCTAGCATGCTTCAGTCAAGAACGCCGTAGCAGCAATGAGAGAAACAAATGAGTGCTTTTTGTGCAACCACCTCCGATACAATTGCGAGTACATCATCTACAGGATGCTGTCAGTGTACAGACAATGCCAGAAGTCTGAGACACTGGCTCATCATGTTGTCTTCGATTTCTTGCAATGCCTCTCCTTGCATGATCTTCAGTTACGGTCATGCTCGGCTTCCCACCGCCCAGCCTCCTGCGGCCTGAGACGCAGGCCAACTGTCATATCTGAAGTCCGTGGTCCTGGGTCGACTTTGGGCCCTTCCCGCGCCTGGCAAGTGAACGCAGGTTGAAAAGACTCAGCCGCGACTCAGAAGGCCTTGGCTTCAATGTCATGCTCGATCCGCAGAGCGGCCGTTGCTTTGCAGGCCTCGACAGGACAAGGCCGAGGCAGCTTCAGAAAGCGCATTCCTATCGCCTGCTCGTAGGAGAAGGCATCCATGGCTTCAAAGCTACAAATTCAGCGTGCACGCATTCGCGAGGCACAATATGGATGCTGTGTTGGAGTGGATTGTGCTCGCGGCAGTCCGGTTAAATGCCAACCGCTACGGCAATGTAGTGGGGAATCAAATGCAGTGACTGAACGACTACGTGCGACAGATCCCACGGCCACTGGCAGCATACCTTTGTTCTCATGTTTATCCTCGCTGTGAACATAGATGCCAAGCCGATGCAGCCCGCGAAGTCTCACAAAGGACTTCTGACAATCGCAAATCACGAGAGGAGTAATTACTGAGAGAGCAACCGAAAGAGGCAGCGGCTGCAAAGGTTGAAGAAGTTGATTGGGGGCAAGCCGAGAAAGAGGTGGCATTGACAGCATGAAGGCGTGGACATTCTCGGGAAGCTCCACGCCCCTGCATCAAGTATCGTGAATAAGACCAGTTGCGGACGGGAGTGGGCAGGAGAGCGAAAACTAGGGGGTGCAAGTATTTTGCCGTTCCGTTTGAACCAGTCAGACTTCCGCAGCCTTCCGCCCCTGATGCTCCGGGCCGCATGGTACTGGAGCTCGGGCATTGCGCGAACTGGCTGATCCCCGGAAAAGCGAAGCTGCGAATCTTCAGGATAAGAGCAAGGGGTAGGAGCAATGGGTAACGTGATCTGCCGGTGGTGCTCAACTATGGGCTGGGCGTCTGGGCATCGGCGGAAGATTCACCAAACGAAACTGACGCTTAGAGGCTTGAAGCATCTGGGCACTGGAGACAGTAGTGAGCACGCCTGTGTCCCACTTGTCGGTGCACGGGGACGGGGGGCAAAAATCTCAAACTAAACCGTGAAGGGCAAAGTCCATTTGATCAAGCCACCCAAACGAAACTGAACAGCAGAGCATGGAAAAGCAGAGCCCGGAAAGGCGCAGTGGAAAACCCTGGGGGCACCGCGGAAGGGTCATGCTGAGGGTTACGGCGTCTAAAATCCGTCAGAGCCTTAAGCCAGAAATCTTCTGGTAGCGGCAGCTGATCTTTTGCGCATCCTCCCTGCAGCGTGCCAGCCAGTATCGGTGGACTGTCCATTCAAGCAAGGCATCTGGTCAAGCGAGGAAAGCAAGACAACTGTGCCGTGGGCATACGCCGCTTGCTTGCCTTGCTGTCATTCGGTGCCGAACTAGTATGGAATCAGGTCTCTGCCTCCACAGCTGAAACACAGCTGGAGATCTGCGGCATGTAGTGCCTTTGTGCATGCCGGGTCAGCCGTCTGCTTTGCAGACACTGCCGGATGCAGGCGCACACTCGATCAATAACTATGTCCCCATGGCCCGTGCAAGATCCGTCTTGTTGGGGTTATTCCTGGCTACGGCAGCTGAAACAAAAGGAACCATTTGAAATCATCTCATTCTGCATAAGCTTCCCATAAGCCGCGCTTGCAAGAGCCTGAGGGGTTCGAACGCGTGCTGGCTGCTAGTTGGGCAAGACCAGCTTGCCGGCTTCCTCAGTACCAGCCGGAGGTCCAAACATGACGTACTGCAGGGCCGTGTCATTCACCTGAAACAAAACGCAACACAGCGTCTGTCTGTACCCTGAGGGATGCTGCTTTCGAAGCACAATCCTTCTCTAAGGCATGCCAGACATACTGCCGGTGCTCCCAACTCAATTCAAAGGGCGCAGTGCCGCTGATTTGTTCGCTTGGCGCCATCATCAGGATCGAAGATGTGGCCCAAGTGCCCACTGCACTTTGCCTCAAACGCCAGCACCACCAGACTACTTCGGATTTTCCTGCATTTTCTTGCGTGTAACTTTGAAATACCGTGACATACTGTGACTGTACAACGCACGCACTAGATCGCTGTGCAGTCCGGAGTCGCAGTGGACCTCTACACGGCCGTCGTCTTCGAGCATCATTCCGACAGAGTCTTTGCAGCTTTGGTCAAAAGATGACCAGATTTGTCAGTGAACAAACTTGGCCTGGGCCAAGTAAATAACCTCAGTATGACAATGCTTCAACTCACATCGGAAAAGCACTCCCGCCAACACTCGTGGACCTTCTCCCAAACAGCGCACAAACCAAATCAGAGGGTCGACGGTCGGAGTGGGCTGAAAGCAGAAGCAACAGCATCAGCACAAAACCAACAGGAATTCAATCCAAAATGGAAACCGTCAACATCCAAGAACAGTCTCGATGTGTCTGTCTGTGTCTCTGTTTACATGTGAACGAAGGCAAATCCTTAGCCTCAAGTCCGACTTTGCGTAAGAAACTCCTTGGGGAGCATGGCGAGATGAAGTTGCGTCTGTTTCTGCCTGGTCAAGAGCATGTGGTACCAAACCCAGTGCTGAGTGCACTTTCCTCCTGCTGCTGCTGCGTATCTTAAACCGTCTCATCTACAGGCTTGCCTCGAACTTATGCTGAAAGGTGCCATTTGCTTAAGTCAGACAACTCTTGACATTGTCTTTGGGGCGCTTAAACAACTTTGCTCTTTGGCCGAGCTGCTGAACCGCACCTGACGCAGGCAAAGTAGCCACGTGTTGGCATGAACTTCCGGCCAGAGTACCTTCAAAGTACACTTGCCAAGCAAGGGCAGCGGCAAAACATCTCAATTCATCGTGTGTGGCCGGTTGACATCCATTGCTACCGAGAATCGGTCCTTCCTCTTGGTCGGTTGCCCCCGCGAGAACCTCGAATGCTGACGAACTTGCTTAGGAGGTGCACAGTGGGCGCTGTCGCGGTGAAGCCGTTGCCGATCTATCCCGCCCGAGCTTAATGCTCTGCAGCCCGTGGCAAACCAACAATCAACCCCCTGAGCAAGCTTTTGAACAGTGGGGGGTGACTCCATCGATAGATCTTCGGGATGTGACTGAAGGCTTGGAATTTTACGGACATTGAAATAAAGGTTGTCGAAATCTAGATTCTCTTGGAGTGTACGTATCGTGACTGCAGCAGCGGGACGGGGTGCGTTGTTACCATGACCGGGAACAGCGGCATCAATTGCTCGACATTGAAGCACACCGCCTGCTCTCCTCCCAATTACTTCAACCAAGAAGCCTGCAATTCCCAGTGGGAGAGTACCTCCTGGCGCAGTGGGCGTTTTGCAGTGGCACGTCAGGAATACATCCATGGACGGCCGTCCTTCCCAGCAAAGCCACTCGGGGCAGTGAGGCTCTCTTCCTGTAGAGGGCAAAGCGCAATGAATCGTGCTTTCCCGGCTGGAGGCTCCGGGACTGCGTGACTCGTCAGTCTCAGCATCTGCACGGCACAAACCGAGCCCAGGAAAACATAGCCTAGCCCTCGCCACTCGCTCAACGAATCGGAACTGGCTTAAGCAAAGCCATCTGCGCGGTCCCCGCTCCTACCCCCTCAGTGCCAGCTTTGCTGTTGTGGGGCTCGGATACCATAGGGTGCAGGTTCGGACATCGCACGCTGAGTTGATCACATGGCCATTTGGCTCTGCCAGCTTGTTGGTTGAGAACTCACCTATAATTCACCCTGCCGACTCGCAAGGCTTCGGGCTCCTCGCAATGTCTTCCCGCGCAGCAACGCATCCCTGGAACATCCAAGCTCAGCCCACCTTTGTAACCACCTTCCTCTTCCTTGCGGGAGGCCCGACAAGTTATCCCGAGGTATATGCGGGAGCCCAATTTGAGTCTCGTTGCTATCACCGGCTTGCAACTCCCACAGCATTTCCCAAAGGAGAGAGTTCTAACTGGACCCCGAAGTGGAAGCCCTGGCGATTACAAAAGATACGGCTGTTACAAGTACGTAGTCCGCGGTCGCTGACCGGCAAAGGCTTCACGGCTCAGAATCAAGGACCCGGCCTTGGCGGCCAGCTCTGCCTCTTGCTTCTGCTTGTATGTCATGGCGGGTTCTGGCGCTTTGCCGCCTATGATGAGCATCGATGTGTCCGGTCGTAGCAGTTCTGCTGCAAACAGACTCGCAAGTGACGCCTTTTGCTTGTCCTTTGCCTGGCCCCTTGCCAGGTCCTTTGCCACCTTTCGGGCCTGTGTAGTGCAACACAACTGCAAGGGTGATCATCTGAACTGCCACCCTCACAGGACAGTCTTTGATATCTTTGATGGCGAACTCATGTACATTCCAGACAGCAGTGTTCAGTTGCGAGCAAAGCCTTTCGAAGATGGTGAGTCTGGCAGTGCCTTCGGTGGCGCACGGAAATCCAGACAAGAAGCAATGCTGCATGACTGCGAGGGTACGCTGCGACGGCTGTTGCACGTGGACCATCGGATCTGTGCGAAGCACAAGACTTAAGCTCTTAAGGATGGGCAGCACGAGCTCGTGCACTGATCTCCCGGGAAGTGACCGGGCAGAACTCCGACTTGCAATACACAACAACTAGACGAACATCTTCAAGAGTCGCGAAGGGCAAGTGCACAGCAAATGCCTCTTCATGTTGCTGCTTGTCTTCGCCGGCCACAGTGGAGGGCGTGTCCACCCCTGTCAGTACCATGTGGGCAGTGCACGTGCGCGGCACTCCGCGCGCAACATCAAGCCCCAAGCCTGCATGTGCTGCAACATTCGGTGGCACGGCTTTCTCCGGCAGTGGAGCACGGGCGCCTGGCACCGTCACTACGTCACTAGCCTCTGCATCGGCATGGGAACCTTGTGCGGAAAAAGCCTGGCGGCGGTGGAGGTGCGGAAGGCCGCCGAAAGCAGCAGAGATCAATGCCGGAGGCTAGCATGGACATCTGAGCTCTAAGCTTCTGCGCAATGGGACATGCTGCAAATGTGGTCTCAGGCAGCGAGGGGCATAATGAAGTCTTGCCTCAATCTTTGATCGTGAAGCAGTTGTCGCGCGGTTCATTGCTGATGAGGTATTGACTCCGTTCGAGAAGAATGCTGTTCGTCAGTGCTATGCACTGGTAGCAGCATGTCAATATGTCAGAAGGCTTCAAGGTGACTATGCACTCATACGCAGTGTCAGGGCAAGTGCAGCACGTTTTTTGCTTGAAGCCAGCTCTTGCATCGAGCTGCACTCTTCGTCGCGACACGGTCTGCGCAGCCTCATCCGCATAGGCAACATATGGCAACATAATATGGCAAAAGACTTTACCACTTTAGCAACAATCGTAACTCTTTCTATGTAGCCTCACTTTCACTTGATCCTTGCAATCCGGCCCTGTGTCAGGTCCCCCGCAGACCATGCACGAGTGCCCATCCATCCAAGGTGTCAATGACCTGCACAGAAGGATCTTGGTTCAAATTGTCTTCGGCGAACCGCGAGGCACGGAAAGCATGAACGCTGCTGCTGCTCCTGCCTTCAAGTCAAAGTCCTGGCCGTAAGCCTGCGCACTTGTCTTGGCGTAAACGACGAATTCAGCGATTGTATGTAGCTGGCTTGCAACAGACACATCATGAAAGCTGCAGTTCTTGTTTGCAGAACTAGGTTACATGATGCCTGCATGTTCAGGTTCTGCGCTCAAAAAAATTGCCACTCTCAACCCACATCGCAGAGTCACGCAGCCGTTGTTTAGCAAACATCTTTCGTTGATATTGTGAGGCCGGAATCAACAGTGCTGCAGATTCAAGATGCTTGTGTGCTGGGACTTTCTTCGGAAGCTTTTCGCAAAGGGCTTCTCTCGGCCTTGCTGGGGCCCCAGAGTCGAGCCCTTGCGCGTCCGACTTGTGAAGCTTAGGTCTACGCGATTACAACAGGGCTGGGGTGGGGGCGGGGGGGGGTCTTGATTTCCGCGCAAACTCTAAGCACCAGCTCTTGCTAGTTGCCTTCTGCGCATGCCTGGGTCTTGGCGTTTCCTTGATGCGTGTCGGTGAATTCTCCACCAAGTGCTGTTGGTGTCCTATCGCGGAGGCTTGACAGCTTTTTGAAGTTCCGTTCAATTGTTGTCCTGGATCCTGGCTCTTCGTGGTTGCCTGGCCTGGCCCGGCCAACCTCTTGTTTGATGTTTACTGCATGTCGTCGAGGCTTCCTTCAGACAGCGGCCAACTGCAGCTCCCTTTGCGAAGGCCAGTCGTATCTTCAAGTCCGATAGGCGCAAGCAAAGGGCCGTTTGTTCTGAAGCTTTCGGTCGACGAGGTTTTGTTGGCAGCAGTGCTGTGCGCGCTTTCTTGATGGCTCTTACGTCCAGGAGCCAAGTCCCTCTCCAAAAAAAGCGGCGTTTTGATTTCTGTTTTAGTCGAGGACGGCGGTAGCCAGAGCTTACGGCGGGGTCCATGACTTCCGTAACCGTACCTTACACGGAAGCTGAGTTCAAGGAACCAAATCATCATTGCGCCGGTGCAACCTCAGATTTCTCGAGCCTTTGCTTTCGGCGAATGCAGGGTCTGAGGCTTGGGACTCTCGGTCTGATAAAAACGGCGCGTCTGCATGGACGCGACACGGGGCAGCGGAAAATGTCGCTGTGCGGCTGTGCATCCTCCGCTTTTGGCTGGCCTTGTACTTGCATTGGGATGATGATGGATGATGTGCAGACTCAACACAAAAGCCAAGAACGTTGAAGCAGAGCATCCCACCCGAACAAAACGCCACACCACGGATAATTTGCTACTCTCGTCAGCATATCGGTCAGCTTCGACAACCACGTTCCAGTAAACAGTCGCCCGGTGTCCGCAGCCACTATCATCTACTGCTGCGCTGTGGCATGGAAAGCTTTTGCCGGCAGCTTCGAAGCGATCGACCGTGTTGACGTGTGTCGGCGGCATACCATGATGAACTTTCTCCGAACCGCAGTGATCAGCACAACGTGCGGTTGAATCTTTTGGTCGCACAGCTTCTCTTCATGCTCTTTTTGTAAGATGCTCTTCTGCTACCCGCTAAGGGCTTGAGGCTCGGCCTCGTCAACTTGTTTGACCTGGAACTCTCTCATCCCCGCAAGAAGGACCTGACGATGGGCGAGTCACCGTGGTATCAGTGGTCTCTTCGCATCTTTGCTGGGAATTCTCTGCTTCAGGTGGGTTTCGTCAGGCCGGCCTGGCCACCTGCCCGGAGCAACCGTCTTATCATGGGTGCCGACTGGCATAGCCTCGGGCACAGAGCCATGCAGTTGTCTTCGACACATTCGGATGCCGTAGCTGAAGCCGTCATCGGCCAAGCTGAGAAGTTGACGGGCCGACCACAATGTTTGCAACGACCAAATCGAAGGAGCCCTTCACCAACGAAATCAGTCTCTCTGCTTAGGACATGTGTGACCGCTTAGCCATGCTGCTGTCAGAGCACACTGTTGTTCGACAAGGCACTGCATCGCTCGCTTCCATAGGCATCCAGCCCTGCAACGTCATGGAGTGACGCCAATCACCTTGCAACACTCGGAGCCGTCCCGTCGAATTAGTGGGAAACTCTCATGTTGGGAGCCGACCGTGCCGTGTGTAGAAGTCGAGGTCCTTGTCCAACATCTCCTGCTTATTGGATTGCCAGATTGGCGGTGCAGTTTCTCCCGGTATACAGCTGAGTCGTTACCTCCGGTGGCAAGTGCAGTCGCATTCGCGGCTCATCGCCATCAGCGCGTTTGAGTCCTGAGCAACGACTTTCCAAACTGATCGTGGAAGGAATGCTTAACATGATGCGACCTCCTGTCTTGCGGCACGGCATGTCTCTTGGGTAACTGATCGTGGAAGGAATGCTTAACATGATGCGCAGCATTCACCAACCTCCTGTCTTGCGGCACGGCATGTCTCTCGGGTGGGTGGGTGGGTGGGCGGGAGTAGCATTCCATCCGAGACGCTCGGCAGATTCGCCTTGAGGTTGTCATAGGCTGCTGTTAGTGCATCTGGCACATTGTCCACCTCGCGAGTTTGTGGCAACACATCCCTCCATGATTCCGCCTCATCCCTTCGAAGCAGAAAGCATTCCGATTTCGACTTCTGAGTGGGAAGCCCCGAGGCACTGCCTCGCCCCCAGCCTCAAAAATGCAGTGACACCAGTGGATTTCTTTGCGCTCTGCGCAGCCCTGCGTCGTGTATGAGGAACCCTTTAAAACAGAAACATGCGCGAAGTTTTATGCAGAGACTCGGGCAGCGGCCCAAGAGCAACCAGACCCAGCACGCCGCTTCCACAGCCGTAGTCCTTAGCACATTCAGTTCGCGGGCCTTGTTGTTGGTCAAGCTACTGAGTAGTCACTAGAAGTACTGAGTAGTAACAGGCAACATGTAGCAACGGGAGACATTCGATGACTCCAAATGAAGATGCGCGACGCACACGGTCGGGATGCTGGCCCAGTCGAAGTCCTCCGAGGAGCTTGCTCATGCCATGATCCGCCGGAGGTCCACCAAACAACTGTCCTAAATAGTAGGATCCTTAGTATAAGGACCCCAAAATAAGAACCGGCCCATTGAAACGTCCTGCATCGCTTGCAACACCAGGGCGGTGGTCGGATGCTGGCCGGATCCGAAAGGGCCCAAGGATCGCAGCCTGACTCAAAAATAGAGAAGGGGAAAAGTTTGCTATGCTTCAAACATGGAGTCTCTGCTCCATTTCAGCGGCCATGTCGGGGTGCCAAGTGAAATGCTGCAACGGGTTCAGGCAATATGTGATTGCCTTCTTGTTCCCTGCAGCTCCAGCCTCTGACGCAAGCTTTGTTGCTTCGCTTAGGTGTTTCAGCAGGTTGTTGAAAGCATGCACCCTTCCGGCAGGATCTTTTGATGAAAACCACACAGTTCCCTCTGCCAAACAAGATGCCAAGATTGCCTGATGACCACACCGTCTTCTCCGCTTGGTAGCTCTCTGTCCTCCATGCCCTGCCAGGGCTGAGGACTAGGCTCGGTGCACAGCTTCAGGGCGCAGACACACACACACACATAAACAGCGAAAGTGCACGTTTACATGCACACTTGCATGCGTGCACGCAGCAAAACCATGCACCATGCATGAATGCATGAACGCTATGCATGCATGCTTTCATACACAGGTTCCTGCAAACGAACGCACAGCCAGACAGGTAGCAACAAGTACACCAACTTGCCGACTCACGGTCGTGCAAACATCAAAACAGAGGCAACCAAGCAAACAGCAACAACAACAACAACAACAACAACCACCAGCAAGTCTGTGAATTTCTAAACGCTGAAACTGAGGTGGACAAGTGCGAAACACGACAGGCGGAAGCCCGAATGGGCCGCATCTGCGCCGTGGTCTCCGATGTAAGTGTGTCTTTGTCGTCTGGTGAAACGTGCCCCTGCTGACCGATCCAGACCGACAACACAGACAGTCGCCGCTGAATTCAGAAGAGGATCCGAAGGCACGGTGACATAAGCCTGCCTGGTGTGTCAAGCGTCTCCCTTCCATCCGTTGTATATGCTCAGCTTGGCGAGCAAGAGTATTACAGGCACATTGCTTGGAAAGGATCAGAAGCAAAGACTAGATTGGACACACTGCGACACTCACAACTAGCTGGGCATCCATGCAACGAACGACATAAGGATCCTACTATTTAGGGTACTACATTAGGGTCCCCTATTGTCGGAAACTTCCCCTGATTCCAAACGGGAATATGCATGCAAAGGGCTGCCTCCACTGGAAGGAAGATGCTTATCCGGCCCACCTCGCAGCACGGTGTGAGGAACTATGATAAGGACTCTAGACTCTGACTTGCGGCTGGCTGCAAGCAACTCGTGCAAAGATGTTATGACATGTTGCAGTCATGCCGGGAGCTGCCTTAACAACGTCGTCCTTGTCCTTGCCTCCAGGCACAAGACACATTTTACAGCAGCGATCACAGCACCACCCTCAGCGCATGGCCTTCTCGGTCTTCTCGGCAGCCCTGAACGTTGGGCTCTTCGATCCTAGGCACAGCTTTTTCCTCCGAGGGCTGTGCTGCTTGCCAGTATGCAAATGTTCTGCACCGGGCTCGGAAAATAGCCCTAAAAGCTGCACCATGGGCTCCCATCCCCGGGTTTCGGCTTCGTGTGTTTTGACCATGCGCTCGCACGGGGCAAAGGAACCGAAAAAACGTGCTTGTCACATGGCTGCCTGGGCTAGCTCATGTGTCCGGAACGACGCATGCGCGACAAAACATCAGTCCGTTGGATCAAGGGCTGGTTTCTTGGACGAATCCATGCCCACATGCGCGCTCAGTGGGTTTTTACACATGAACCAGTCCGCTCGGTTAAGCCCCGGTCTCTGTTTCCATTTCAAAAATACTGTTGTTGCCCAATTTGCAATCCGATCGTGCCCTTTCCAGGCTGTGCAATTTTACGGCCTTGTCCATGACGGGAAACCTCAAAGTTTGCTGTGGCGGCGCAAACTCTTTCCGAGAGTCGTCACGACGGATTTACATTTCATTTCGAGCTCGTCTGTCTTCGCTGGATGCAGGCATGAAAGCTGAGGTTGCGCGCTTGTCTGGTGCCGGAGGGATACTCCTGCGGTTGCAGATCAGGCGGGAGTCAATATCCACGATCTCAGACCTGGCCTTGACATAGAGGTTTGATTGAATAAGAACCGCCAATTCAACCGAAGCGAACTGCGTGTGTGTTTTGACCTACCTGCGTGGTGCATGACATGTGCATGACTCCTTGCCAAACTGGCCGACCACTTCAAGCATCCGTCGTTTGCAAACCTTGCAGTCGTCGCAGCTCTACGAGAAACTGGCTTGCACAAGTCTGCGAAGCACCAGTAAAGCCCGGGCTGATGCGGCAGGTGGATGTGAAAGACAACGATGCGCTTCTCCGGAAAAAGCTCCTCACCCATGGCCCCAAGGCAACTGCTAGTCAGTATAACAAAGAAGACAGTTGATCGTCCTGCAGGAAGCCGGCGCAGTCGTCTGCCAAGGGATCCAGCTCGTCTCCGGCGTCTTCTTTCCTTTCTGCTCCAGCTGCGGCCACAACGTCGTAGACAAGGCCTACAAGATGCGAGGAGAGCACCCGAGATCTTCGGTAGCTGCGCGGCCGTGTGAGACCGCCTTGTCTACGAAGTTCGCGGCAGAACTCCAGATCGAAGTCGTCCTTGGACACAATCCGAAACATGTGGCACCTGTTTCGTCCCTGCAAAGCACTGCGCTGTCAGAACGGATCCTCTAGGCTTCTTGCACAGTCTTACCACAACAAAATCCAAAGCTTCCTGCAACACCTCTCACTCTGTTATCAAAGCCTTGCAAAAGGCAGCAGCCTGTAGCGTCTTTCTGCTGAGAACGCTGCAAAGCGATGTAAAGTATGGCAGTACAGCATCATCGCGGACGGCCACCTTACGAAAGGAGTGGCACGTACAGCTGCAAGCCACTGATGTGCGAGGGCACAACATATCTTGGACTACTGCCTGATGCAGGGATGCATGGAGTCCAAGAGGGCCAGGGAAGATGGGGAGGCTTCGGTCGACGGCTTTACCAAGGCTGTCCTTATGCACCTCCCCTGCTCCGCTTCCAAGCGTTATCTGATAGCACGCCTAGCAGTTCCAATGCATTGAGCGACGCTACCGTGGATCTGGTAAACCCTAGTCATCACTCGATGAGTCGTGTAGGGTGTCATACGCCTATGTGAAAACAACCGCAACCACTTATACTCGCTCATTTATGTCAGCAAGAGGCGCTGGAGGAAAGCATGATGTCAAGAACCGGTGCTACCGGCAACAAGTTAGCCTCGAACGTGTCGTGACCAAGCTCTGCCCACACAGCACGGGCACATGCACGAAGGTGTGTAGAGGCACTTACTCGCAACTTATGCTCAAACATGCCAGCTTCTTTCGTTTTGTCAGTTCATGCAGGCCCCAGTGACTAGGCACAGCATTGATGTGCAAGCCGGCTGAGTACTGTACAATCGTGTGGCCTGAGTTCCTGTCACACCTTGAGGCTTGCACGATCTTCGCGTCAACTTGTACAGGAACCCAGTGCAAGGAGTTGTCTGGAAGCCACACCAGCTAAAGCAGGTGCCGGGAAAGAGCATGCGCACGAGGCAGACTAGCTCAGCATTCCGACTGAACAGTGCCATAATGACTGTGCTTCAGGGGCTCTTCTTGCTGCATGTCGTCGCGACCATAACGCGGGTCCTGGCCAGTTTACACGACCGAAAGCACAGTGCGGCCCTGCAACTCGTAACGAGTGTCCCGATCCGAGTCCTTGACAAGATTGTCAATGATCCACGACCAAATCGGATTGAGAACACTAGGGGCAATGACCATAACAAGGACGAGCTCCTTCAGGGGCGAAGGTGAGAGATCTGTTTGTGCCCATAGCAAGCACGACGGTCGCTTTGACTTCAAGAACGTCACGGTAGTCTCCGTCTTGGGGTACGACTTGAAGGGCGTCTCAAGCGGAGCAATCAATGCATCGATGCGGTGGTGAAAGGGGTAGATGACCAATCCCGCCTTGTCACAGCCAAGTTACGTCAGGACCCACAAACCGCTCGGTGGGCTCTCGCTCAGCTATGGCGGTTTCTTGCAGCCAAGCAGCCACCGTGAATTTTTCCAGGCAGCAGACAAAACCCCAGTATGTGGTCTGCGCCTAGTAGGCTTCAGTCCAAAAACGTTTCGACACAACTTGCTGGGTAGCATCGCGAGGGAGGCTACTAGATTAAGCATGGCACGAGCCAAATCGGAATCTTCGGTGGGTCGCCGTACCTGTAAGTGCTGCTCATCAGTGCGACCCGGTCATGCTGAATCGGCAGCTGCCAGGTTACTCTCCACTCTGGAGCCATGTCAGCTGGTATCTGGCGACGACAATGCGATGAAATCGCATCCAAAGTGTCCTCGATTCGGGCAAAAACTCTCTTCGACTCCCCAGAAAGACCTCCTGTTTGTCCAGCTGCTACGAGCTATTACGGCACGGCCAAGCATATGCACAGTGCGAGTACGACCAGCAATGGCCAAGGAGCAGAACAATAAGTCCTTGGTTCCCGCATCACCGGCGAGTCACAACCAACAGGCGGAGATACCAGTATGTCTGGCCAGAGGATTAAAATGGGCACTTATCATGTTACGTTGTGTCTACCAAGCTGGGAATCAAAAGAGCTGACTTGTCACAGTAGTCGATGGGATGCAACAAAGGCACCGCCCACAACGGTGATCATAAAGTTGCTAATGTACCTCGCAGCATGTGGGAGACTTGAACCGGGAATGCCGCATGAAGACTTCCTACCCCTGTTTCACTTAATGAAAGCTCTGACGGGTCGCCACACACACTCGCCAGCCATGCCCTCCGTGGAGGCAAAGATGACCTGACATGAGCACACGAGGGACCAGGCGTGGTTTCACTTCTTTGGCCCGCGGGGCGTCAGCTCAAACCAGTGGGAGATCAGAGCCTCTCTCGAAGGGGGCTCCGGTCGGACAACCCCGCTGCGCAATACCCATTTCAACATGTTCTGCGCCCTACTTATAGTATCTTGTAGACGAAGACCCTAGTTGAGGCACCGGAGTATCGGCTAGAGTCCGATGCCATTTTCGTCATAGTTGAGCCTCCACATGGCCCCAGATACGGAAGTCCCATTCTCCGGCCACGGCGGAAAAATGGGTGGCGATCCAGCAGGAGAAGAAGGTGTGTGCATCCAACTGACCGCCACACCCGCAGATACCCGAAGCAATCACCTGTTAGGCTTGGGGGTCCCGTGACATACCTCTTGGACAGGGTGCCGCCAACGCCACGTTGACGAAGTGCTGCAGGCTCATGGCAAACCCCTGCAGGCCAAGAAGGTCAATTTTGGCTTCGTTTCTTGCGGTTGGGACGCTTCACGATGCGTCAATCACAGACAAAGGCATCGCTCTTCCGGCCTGCTTGGAAATGTCCATTAGCCTTGCAAGGTGTCGTGTAAATGCTGCTCATGGACGGCGAGTACCCGTGGGCTGCATGCCCGGGAACCAACATGGAATGCATGGTCCATTGGTCAGTTAGTTAGCTGGCTGGTTTGATTGTCTTCTCTCTTCTTCCACACAGCATCACGCAGCCAAAGGAGGTAGCGTCATTACGCCCCCGCAGGCAAGCGCGCATTGGGTTGAGGCATCTACGTCTCTTTCTTTCTTTCTGCCGGGCTTAGGGGTCACTGTCGTGACCCTCGGGCTTTCAGCCCGCCCGTCCACCCCTGTATCTTTGAGTGGACGGCTTCGGGGTTTCAATGACCATGGCACTAGCTACTGAGTATGCTCTGACTTTCCGAGCTGCAATCCCCCGCCCTTGACACTGGTGCACCCCCAACGCGCCTCATCTCCGCGCCCCTACGGCAACCGGCGTCTAAGGGGTTTGCTGCTCGAAAGGTTGAACTCGCCCATGCATCTACGTCTCTCTCTCTCTCTCTCTCTCTCTCTCTGTCTCTCTCTGTATTATCTCTGTGCTAGCTGCAGTGCCTACCATGGACAAGGCCTGTAACTCTCATTGACTCTGAGCGGCCAAACAAGCCATGATCGTGGAGGGTGCTCCTGGTAGCGCTTGTAAAGCAGCCTCGAACATGGTCGTCAATGCCAACATGTAAAGGTATACGCTGGGTGGCTGATCATGTCTGATGATGTTAGCTGATACGGAGGCCATTTCACCACGTCGCAAGGTATCGCAGCATTATCTAACCAACATTTAGAATCAGGATTTCGCATGTCTTGGAGGAGGTTGGAGCTGGGTGCCGGCCGAAGCGGCGTCGCCAACACCATGGCGGCCTAAATGCAGTGGCAATCAGGGAATTTCAGGCAGGCATGAGGGGACATGATGATCACCAATCCCAGCTTTGTCAGGCTCGATGTTCGCTGCATTTCAGGGCATGCCTGGCTCTACAACATGCTGAATTTCGTCGAGAATTAAAGCGAGTAGCCAGGAAGACTTGCACCCCAATCGCAAAAGGCCCAGAGACCACCCGACATTCTTCTCGGATGATCCTGAGCACAGCATTCGCTGCATGCTCGTGGAATGCAGGTGGTACTGACAGTCGAAGCCGAATAAATTCTCAAACGCTACCCTTACATTCCCTTCTCCTGCGCATCATTCCGATGTGCTGCTCACATGTGCTTTCCAGGTACTGGCCATGCTTCTTCGTGCAGAACCCAAGGCGAACATAGATGCAGTGAAACAAAGCTCGGTTGGCAACCACACTGCTGCAAGGCATCTCCGGTGCAGCAATACTTTCTTCTGCAGTCATATGTCGCCCGAAGTGAGCTATGTCCTTGGTTACCAAGCACACAAAGAAGGTGAAGAGCAAGCTGATCCGAAGCCCGGCCACGTAAGTCAGCATAACAGCAGCTCTTCAGATGTTCCGACTGTTACTGGTATTTCTGCTAACCACAAACTTGTATCTTGAGGTCAGGCCCACATGCGTCAAAGCGACACTCTTTCTTGAGGCAGCATCTGCCCTTCATTATGAACATCTGTGCTTGAACCAGCACCGGCGACGAGAGCCATCGGCAGCGGCAGGTGATATTGTCTATGACAAGCGCTTGCCCTAGGAGTTGTATACCGGCATAAACAAGCTCAGACTCACACTGTCTGGCAAACTCCTTCAGAACCCGCGGAAGGAGTTCGACGCCTGCCTCGTCAAGCACGGTCTGCAAATCTGATGATGGGACCCTTGATGGGCTTCTAGGTCTTGCCCAGGCATCCAACTCAGCTGTGCCCGGGGCTTCGAGCATTGCCAAGCAGTCTTGACTACTCTGCTGCCCTGTCCTTGTCGAACCACCAAACTCACAGCCGTTTTACGTGATTAGGGCTCCCTCTTCCGGTTTTGGGGCAGAAGAGAGGATGGCAACACAATTCCCGAAATGCACATCTCGTTTCGTGTGTGTCAAAGCTGTTCATCCGGAAATGCGCGGGTGCGCCCGTGGCCTGCGAGTAAATCAGATCAGAGCCAATGAGGAGATCCCAGTGTTGACCTGCAGCCATTGCCACAGAGTCCATGAAACTGTGTTCCTCACGCCTAAGCGAAAGCCGGCTATATGTGGAAGGCCTAGAAGCAAAGCCTCGGGTAGGCCTGGAAGACTTTTGAGGTTGGAGTGCTGGAGGGCTGGAAGTTGATAGAGCAGAGAGAGTTGGTGTTCACATGCCTAGCGGTGCAGGGCTGGATTCCCAGTCGAAGTGAATAAGAAATACAAGTTAACCGCCAACGATTGTAGATTCTTAACGTTCTGAGGCGGAAATAGAGGACCAAGCGACAAGCAAAATGAAGCCGGGAATCCAACATCTAGGATGCGCGCTTCTTCTTCATAGACTTCTGACTTCTGTGTAGTCACCGTAGGACGCGGTCTCGGATTAGATGTTGCAGACAGGCCTTGCTCTTGTGCGGGTGGCTGGGGCAAAGCTGGCCTTGATGCAGTGTCCTGAGCTGAAGGTTGCCGCATGAATTCATGTCCATGCTGGCCGACCACTTCGTGCATAACTGGGATGCGAGCTTCGAATCTGCTCCAATCCAACTCCTGCCATGAACCGTTTCCGAGCGCTGTCACGGCTGCAGCAATCAGAACAGTCCTGCAAGTCGACCGCACTCAGCGGAACACCAGCAGCCACCTCGCAATGATTCTCAGTAGAAGGAGGCACACTTTCATAACACCATCCGGTTCAACCCGCAGGATCGTCGGACGCACTCCCTGGTCGTCGACTCAGATATCATGGCGCATGCAGGTCAGACTTCATTGCTTCATGCAAGCAGCACGCATTCTCCATCAGATTGTGCTGAAGCCACTCCATGGCCTCAGCGGCAGAAGAACAGTGCAGCAGTGCATGGGGGCTTTCTCAAAGATTGAAGCCATCAAGCAGCACAAAAGCACAACTTTCTAAGAAATGCCATCCCGTCTGTCCGTCTCCTCCCTCATGCACTGATGCGGGCTACGTGTCGTACGACGAAGGTGTCTGAGAGTCAGACTCCGCCATCTCCCTGCAACCAGACAAATGAAATATGCCAGCTGTAGCAGCCCTTCCGGCACACCATTCGGAATTGAATGGCCAAGCACTCCTCTCATCCGAACGCCCTTGTGAAGGAGATTTTCGTGGACTGTGTCAACATGGTTCGATGGTCTGATGAGAGATGACGGACGATGGCATGCGCTCCTAAGAGTTGTTCTTGAACAGCGCAGAATCGCAAACGGGCGACTTTTCTAGGGGTCTCTTGGCCTCTTGGCAAGCTCGTATTGGGAGCACTGGATCATGACACTTGCAGACTTCCGATTCGCACGCCATCTCCACGGTGCCATCCTAGTGACACTCGTTCTTGGAGCCCACATTCGGGAAAGGATCCCCCCCTGATGATGATGATGATGATGGTTCATGCAGGGTCCGGCCTGCTCAGTCAAACAAATGCTACCGGGTCGGCCGTTCTCCGAGATGTTCCGTGCCAAGGTCATGCCAAGCCTGCAGTCTTCAATCCAAGAGTGTGGACACTGAACGTCAACATGTCCGTGTCATTCCGTGCCTGCATGCTTAGTGACATCCATGAAATGCTTCAAAGTGTGCCCAAGCAGACCGATCGTTGCGGGGTGATCTGAGCATGACGCCAGCCAGTTCCAGATCCAAGTTCGACAATGTTGGGGGCCTGCAGCACCTTGATTAGCGCAAACTGCTCTGCATCATGGACATTGGAAGGGCAACCCTCAGTGGAGAACTGCTGGCTACTCGAACGCCTGTCAAACCACAAAGTCAGCTGGTGTGTGCCGCTTTGTCGGCGCTGGAAGTGTTTGCCAGACTGTGCCAGGATTCGCTCAGATTGTTTTGATTGCGGCTCCATGCAAGCTCTGAGACCAACGCGCAGCCGGTGTCTGCCTGCAAGGAGCAGGTGGAGCGGAAAGGTCGGTATCAGCAGATTCCTTCTTGGCTCCACGCTGCGTCAAAGAAGGCGCAAAGAGCCGTCCACCTTTACAGCTGAGGGCTAGCTTGTGTGACACAACACTTCTGTATGCAATTTTCTTCCGAGTCTGCCACTCGCTCTCCAGGAAATCGCAAAGGCTGTGCCTGGCGTCGTGGAAGCTTCAAACATCTTCAAACTCTTTATCGCAGCCCTTACCATAACCCCCTACTAAGCAAATCTCGTATTTGTAACCTTTTACAACCCTTGGCATAATCTTCATGTGAAACATTGTGAAACCCTCATAGCAACCTCGATAGCCCCCCTTAAGTCCAACGTACATCTCTGCTCGTTGGGGGCCCGGCGCAGCATCCCAGGTGCCTGTGACTCTGCAGCAACGAAACTGACATAAACCAATAACATGTTGCCAACAGCTGCAGTTTCATGCACTCGGCTAACCATTGATTTCTGAATTAATGTGCAATACCACAATTCCAAATCTTCACAATTTGTATAAGTCTTTGGTTGGTTGTGGGAAGCTTTGCGAAATCTGTTGATCGAATGGGCCTGCACGGCCCTGAGTCCGACTGTATCTGAGAAAAATGCTTGAACACTTTGGGGATGGATCAGTGGCAGTTGCATGTGCAGAAAGCTGCTTCTTCAGAGCACACAGCAGGTCATGCCCCCCTCCATGTCTCGATGCGTGCCCACAGCAAGATTAGGGTTGCATCGATTCGTGGTCAGCCGTCCCATCCCAGGGAACATGCCGCGGCAGGCGGGATCCAATAATGATTGCCTGGGTAGGACTCTTGAGTTTGAGTGACTCTGCGCTTCTGCGCATGTCGAGCCATTGTGGACGCGGACATGTCGTGAGCAATTCGTGGCAGACAAGCTACTCGACTACTCGATTCAAGGTTCTGACTGAGAGCAGCTCTCATCTATGCTGAGTTATGCAGAGGAGCGCACGATTTGTGCTTTTGAATGAAACTTGTCAAATGCGGCTGTCGGCTGAACTCCCTAAAATGTTCCGTAGGATTTTCCGGTATACTCAAACGTCACGGTATGCCTCAGAACTAAGGCGATGACTTCCCCCAGTTGTCGCCAACGCACGATGCCCGCACACAACGTCTCGAATCCATGGTCCTTCAACGAGAAGATGATGAGCTCTCGTTTCGATCAGCTGGCCCGAGGGCAGCGCTTGTTGGACCAGAGGACATGGCTTGAGGCAGAACTTGCCCTTAACGACATGCTTCTGGCAATGGTGATGATAAGACTCATAGTAAGACTAGCAATGCCAGCAGTAGTCGACGTCATCAACATAATCATACATAATGCAGAAGCATGAGATTCATGAAGAAGGATGCAGAGTGGGATTCATGACCACAATCCGGGCAGTACTACCGCCGCAGTAATAAAACCTCATGAAGGGCACTATAGTTTGAAGTTGTCTTAAGTAGCAATAACTTGCCATCCTCGGACTTGTCGCTCGAGCCCACAGCCAAAGCGATGGATGGAGCAATTGAAGATTGCTACAGGCGCAATGAGTACCGCCACGGTGTGCTTCGGTGTTCATGATTGAACATGAAGCTCAGTGACCGACAGCCTGGACAGGCTTCTTATGCAAAAAACGTTCGGCAAACGTGTCTGCAATGTTGTTCCTAGCACAGCTTCGCTCGCCTTTTTCTCCGTGGGTGCTTGCATTTTCATGTCGCAACATGCAAGGATCGGCGGGACCTAATTATCACAAGTTCACAGAGTTTGATGGATTCTAAGACTAATGTCTCACCACGAAGCGATGGAAATCACAAGCTTGCGGTTGACTTCCTTCTCAACTGCTACTGAACGATTGTGCGAGAAGCACAAGTAAGATCGAACAGGACTCCCAGACGTCATACTTGGGTTAAATACTTTGCAGCAAGCTCAGCAGCACATGGGAGGGGTTATCATTGATAGCAGTAGCAAGCTGTTCTTAGGAGCTCTGCCTATGTTGGGAAACCAGATACCAGCCATCCCCACCCGCAGTCTGTGAACTTGTGTCAGCTGCGAACTCTTCTATGGTCACAACATGTCACAACTTGAACAGATCTCGGCAGCATGGAACGTATCAGCGGTACAGCGGCCTGCAAGTTGCGCATGTATGCATCTGCTGCAGATTACTGCGCCAGACCAACTCTCAACTCACCCGAACTAAGCATAAGCCTTCGCGCTGCAGACATATGATGACATTTGCAGAACAAGTCTTACCTCCTTCGGGCGTGCGTGTTGTCACCATGACAAAAGGCGATCAATACAGGCCACCTTGCTCTAGGCGTCCTGCTGTGCTCAGATGCGGAAACCCGAAACGCCTCGGTCAAAGATGGCCTGGGTCGACATGCGCGCAGCACCTGCCAAATCGGTGGCTGGAGCTATCTTTCGAGCTTGCCAAAGGATGGCGAAATGCAGGGAGTGAGGCAAAGCGCAATGCATCCAAAAACAGACTGTGGACGAGTCATTGTAAATCTGCAGGTCTGAAAGTCTGCCATGCATCAGTGACACCGACTTCCTGTGATGCTTTGCAACACTTGGAAGCGAAGCTTGTTGTGTCGGAAGGCTCAACGGTTAGAACCGGAGGGGAACGTGCTTGACCAAGCTAGTGCCAGTTGGCACTCCATCTTTTTTTCCGATCTTCGATCTCTTTGGGCGTAGGCTTGCTCTTGACCGTGCGCACGCTCTGAGGCGAGGAAACCGACGACAGGCTCGGCAAACTCAGGCAGGATTGAATTCCGGGTGTGCTGGCCGACGGAGTGTCAGCTGTCAGCTTCCGCTTCAGGTCTTCATCTTCCTTTACCGGAACAGGTGGCTCACGTAGCCTTTCCAGGAGGTGACGCAGGTGTGCCATCCCAAGCTCACGGTCTCTGATGGTTCCTTTCAGATGTCGCATGGCATCTTGATGAACCACTTCCGAGTTCGAGAGGAGGCTGTATACAACTTCCAGTTCGCATCGAGCATCAGCGAATGCAGACTGCAAAAGCTGCATCTCAGCATTGCTCTTGCTTGCCTGACTCTTCGCTTCGGCTGTGTCAGCCTCCGCTTGTGCCAACTTGATTGTTAAATCTGTTAGTAGCCTGTTCGATTCGGAGGCAGTTTCCCGGGAAGAAGCTTCTCGAAACCGCAGAAGCTGCTTTTCAGCATCAGCCTGCTGCGCAAGAGCGGTGTTGCAAGCCTCTTGAACAGCAGTGACCTTCTCTTCAGCCAGGGAGAGATTCTGCTGCGCTTCATTCAACTGCGATCTGGCAGTCAGCAACTCCGCTGATGTCTCTTCCGCCGTCGCTCGCAGGCTCGCAGCTTCGGCTCTGGCTGCTGCGGCCTCTGCGCACGCCGCCGCCGCCTTCGCCTGGCGCAGTATACGAGTGCCTAGCAATGCAGCCTCTTGGGACTGCAAAGCTGAAATGTGCCCGAAAGGTTCTCTGCTCCGGTGCACCTCTATTTCTGCAGCGACGGAGGAATGCTGAGCTACAAGGGCCTGGCAGAACAGGAATTGAGGCACGCATGTGCTCTTCACGACTTGAGGCGCAACACCTCGGCCGTCTCTTTGGCAGCTCGTGATGATTCCAACTCACCTTGCATCTTGGCAGCACTGTGCGGCACATGTCGCAGCTGGATGCTCCACACTGAAGCAAGTTCCTCAGCACAGCGCTGCGCAGTTTTCGAACTTCCTCTTCCTGTCGCACACAAGACACCCACGTCACTGTAGGTATACATTGTAGCGCAAGCCGTCAGGCACAGCAGCCATTCAAGGATGCCAGCTTCTCATAAGCTACATCAGGGATTCTCGGGTGGCCTGGCTGAGATGTGCCAGCTCCCGCGCGCTCACCCGGGTGTGTTCCATTGCAGCTGACCATGCCTTACAAGATCAAGCTGGCGGTCTGTACACATTAACTGCATTTCGCGTTCTTTCTCGCTGCGCTACTCTGCATTCTAAAACCCCCGTCAAGAAACCAGCCTAATGCTCAAAAACTTTGCACGAGGATGGCCAAACTTGTTGTTGCTCGAACGCATTGGCGGGAACAGCCGGAAATTGTAACCGCCTCCCTGACCCGTGGACATGCATGCTTAATCATTCTCCTTGCGATTTTTTGTTTTGTGAACACGATGCTGATCGACTGTCTCCAAAACTCTGGGGTCCTGTGCTTCTTGTAGTGTTTTTGGATCGATGTTGCCTAAGAAATAAACAAGAATCGCAACTCGTGCGTGTCTCGGTGAGCGACGGTTCCTATGTTGTGCTAGCGGTAGTGGTTCTGGCACGCTTTTTGCCTCCCTGCGAAACTTTCTGACCCTCGATGTGGTCGCCTGCCGTTGGTTGGTGGTTCCAGCGTCATATTACCGGTGGTCTTGTGACGCAGTGCCCGATTCTGCAGCCCAGATGTCCGTTGGCGATGAGCAGCAACCGGGGGGGTTGCTGCAATGCTTGGTGTCTGCTTGTCTTTAGCACACCGGCCCTTCGGATGGCGCAACCGAAACATTGACATTGCACAGTTCAGTCAGGGCTGTCCTTATTCCCGAAAGCCCTGCGTGCGAGGGCTTCTCCAGTTATTGCTCTGCCGGCGACATAAATTATGGCCTTGAAGCCATGATGATACGATGTAAGGCCCTTGTTGTCAACATGATCGGATCCGTTTCTATGTGGGAAGCAGGAGCAGCGGGTGATGCAGGGAGGCATGTTCGTGGCCGCGAACTGAGATGTCAAAATTTGAACCCGAGACACTCGGCCAGCATTGCTGCATATTTCACAACACATGCGCACACACACACATGGTGCCGTGGACGACATCCAGTCTTTGCTATTCTTTACTGTTGCGAATCTGAGGTCTGAAATCTGTCCAAGGAGCACTGAACACGTTGCTGATCAGAAGCTGCCGCTGAACCTCCATCGCATACACATGATTCTTCGTCGTCAGAATTCAGATGCTGCCACGTCCACGCCTCCTGCCAAGAGCGCAGGGCGTTCTCGCAGCGATCTCGTCGTTGCTTGTGGAGCCTTGCATGGCTAGAAGCAACCAAATCTGATCCAGCCGTCCCTTTTTCTGCGAGCTGCCGTGCCTCGACACCGTTTCACGCTGCATCTCCAAGGACACTGTGATGCGATCCACCCAAGCCTCAGTACATCCGACTTACCCCTCGCCAATCGTGGGCTGATGCCGCACGACCCTGCGCGCCTTGCCCTCCTTGTGACTGTCTTCTGTCCGTCTTCGAGTGCATGCCTTCACAAGCTGCTCCGTGTTGAACAAGACATGCAAGTATTTGCAGAGAAGGGACTAGACGGATGCCTCTCGCCAGCCCCGGAAGACCCCTTCGAGATGCTGCTGCCTTGCCTGCCGTGTCAGAGTCATCTGAACCGGGAGAACGCTCTGCACCCGGGCACCTCCTTTGCGAGGTGTTGCTCAAAGCGCTCGAGGAGCAGCTCTGAGGCAGCTCGGTCTGGCCGGCGACTGCACTACTTTCGCTCACAGAGAAACCGGTCGCCGGTCGCACTCTCAGCTTCGAGCCTTGGATTGAAAGAGCTGAAGCATCGGCACCGACACTGTGATCCGCCTCCCGCGCTCAACGTGCATCCAGTTGCAACGCGAAACGCACCTTCTGACCCCGGCTCCTGCTGGCGCGGCTCCTTCGGTTCAAAGCTGGGCCACAATCCTGGCAGGTGAACTTCATGCTTGGCATTGCTTGGCTAAGCGGATCCAAAGACGTCGCTTGGTGTCCTCGTATCTCCCTCCGCCTCGGCGACTTCTTCTGCACTTTCGCCCATTGAATGGCCTCTGCACTGTCACCGAACAGAGGTGGACCTCGGCCCGACCAGAGCCAGGGAGTCCCGTGAGCCGCGAGCGCTGAAAGTACAGCCCGGTACAGAAAAAGGCCCCAGCGCTCGGATTTGCACGTCTCCGTCAGCCTCGGGCGGCGCGCTCTCCGTCACCCCCTCTCGTCTCAAAGTCGGACAGTAAGCAGCTGTAACTGCAGCCCGAAGCGCTGTGTCGCCGTCTCGTTTGCACGAGCAGCAGTGTAAGCTTGTACTCGGTCCAAGGACTGCATCAGGCAACACGAGTCCAATTCGCGATGACAGCTCCTGATGCCAACAAGGCTGCCCACCTGTAGGACCTGATCCCAATTCGCCAAAATGTCGGTGATCTCAGCCCGGCGGCAGGCTTACATCACAGGAAACTTCATTGCCAAGCCGTGCAAGCTCTGCTTGTACGGTCTTAAGAGCTCTCTCGGAAGCGAGCCCCGGGTGTGAGGCCCGTCCCTTCTGCCCTGGGCCTCACATTCGATGCATTGTGCACAATCCCTCTCAACTTCAATTGTCGAGCTTCGGACATTTCGGCGTTCGCGCCAGAGCAAGATGAGGAGAAACCAAGGCCCGATGATGATCTTGCTTTGAAGCTGTGGTAGTTATGATGCTGATAGTGATAGTGATAGTGACAGTGCACTGCAAACTTGGTCTTGCCACTTGTGTGTTCCCCTTGTGCCGAAAGGTTCCAGAGGCATGTCGCAGTAGCACAGCGTGGCAAAGAAAGCTGACGGCCGTCACGGTACGAGTAAACAAAGTCTCCCAACCCACCTGACGAGTTGAAGCTGAGCCAGCTCAGGCAGCTTGTGGCCTTTCGCATGGAACTCTGGCTCCACATGGGAAACTTGGGGTACCTTATATTGGGGTCCTAATAATAAGGATCCTACTATTCGGGGTACTATATTGGGGTCCCCTATTTTCGGAAACCCCCACATCGTAAGCGATGCTACCGAACGGTTGGAACGGCCTGCAGGTAAGACTTAGCGGCTGTTCATGGCGAAGTGAAGCCCGTTCAGCTCCTCAGCCGACCATCACCATTGCGAGTCTTGTTGATATGTTCACATCGTCGATGCATGTGCGTGGGGAGAAGTCTCGAGTCCGAGGTGCTCTGCTAGGCATGGTGCCTTGGAACTGCCAGCCTCAGCCCAACCGACCACCGGTCACAGAGATCGGCCGCTCACCTCTGCACCTCGCGACCGGGGTGCAGTCCGAGTGGCCGTTAGCAGGCGGTGCCAGTGGAGCCACGCGCGGATCCTGCCACGCCTAAGGCTTGGGCAGCAGCTGGTCAGTGAGCGCAAGAACTACCAAGTGAAATCTAAGCCGTTTAAGGCCGCGGCAGCATCGCCTAAAGATATAACTTGCACCTTCACAACTCTGCTCAGGTGAGTTTCCAGCTCTTCCGTGCGTCACAGATGCTTGCATAGTGCGGCGCAGCTGCCTGACTCTTGACGTCCTGCTGATACCCGATACCTCCGATGCTGAATAAGTTCATGAAGCCGTGGTCAGGGTTGCTATTTGCGACTTTATCCTGACGTGATCACAGCACGGACACTTTTTCGAGACTGGAGCAACTTGCGGAGTTGCATCGCAATAAACGGCAGCTGTACTGCGACAGTCTGAATGAATTCATTCACCAGCAGTTGGTTGCGGTGTCCGAAAATTCTATGAAATGATCTAGCATCCGAATCTGCAGACATGCATAGGCAAGGTGCCCGGCATGTTTAAATACAGGCCTTTCCTGTTTGACTCCTGCTTTCCACTGCAGATTCACTGGACTCTTCACCCCTCGATGCTGCTGTACAGGAAGTCAATCAATTAATTTCTATCCTCAGTGCTTCCTCCGATAGCGGCTAAACGGTGGCCGCCACCTCGAAATGGGCAACTGGGATGTTAAAGAACAACCTGCACACCAAAGGCAGTGAGCTGAAAAGACATGACAGCCTGAGGCTGCAACGTACTTCGGAGGCTTGAAAACAGGCGCAGACTGTTCAGTCCCTGCAATGACCAATTGATGCCAAGATGGAATCTGTCTAGACTGTCTAGGTGGCCACATGGTTCACAGACAAGAAGGCGCACCACAAGCATCGTAGTCCCCTCGTGCAGGAGCACTCCCAGCCACAGTGGCATTCCGGTGAAGAGTGTCACGCTGCTCCTGGCTACAGGAACCGGAATGTAGTCAGTGGCATTTTCCAAAGCATGCTTTGCCCGCGCGGAAACGAGCAGGATCTTAGGCGCAAGGCTTTCTGCTTAACAGCCGTGGCAAGGTTGTTGTAAGCTGTACCAGTACATGTGTCCAGTTCGTGAACTGCCATGTGCGAGCAGCTTCAAGCTCGGAAAGCGACGCGCCCAGTATAGATCCACCGGCAAGACCTTCCAAGACACTCGTGGACGCTGCTGCCATGTGAGATCTGGATGAGGCCCAGGCAGAGATTCTGGAGAATGATATTCCTCGCTTTTTGGGCCAAGGCGAGAAGCCAAGCCACCTCGGCTGAGCTCAAGGTCTTATGATGTGACCCTTGCTGTAGAAACTCGGCAACTCTCGCTGCCGCCTGCGCCTGGTCAAAAGACATCCATGCATGGTTTTCTGAACAGGAAGTTATTCTCCCGCTGCTCTGGCACCATGGCACTGCAGCTGCAATAAGATGGTCGATGAACGGACAACGAAGTACGAGGATAGCTTCGACCGTTTGGCAAACCGTTCTCTATTGCAGCGTGGCAAGGCTGTGCATGTCTGAGAACCGAACGCGCTTCAGGTCGCTGTCTCCACGAGGGTCACTAGCCCGTCTGAGTATCAACGCCTGCCAGCACAAAGCATTTCACAAGCTTGCAGCTCACAGACAGTTGATATCCCGAGAGCGCTTCAGGCCGTGCCAGAGAGGTTCATCTTTGGTCAGCACAAGCAAGGAAGGGTGAAGGGGATACTTACCATCACCTCCTTCTTCGTCTGATGGTCGTTATCGTTATGGTGATCATCACAGTCTTGGCCCTTCGAGAGCACACATGTTACGTTGGCGGCAAATGACCGATGCCCACGATGAGGATCTCGATGTCAACATGCGAGTCTCCGACAAACATAACCACAGACTGCAGAAGAAGAACACTTTCGCGAGGATCGCACATCCGTCTTCCATTAAACCATCCATCATGCCACGCAATAATGCAGCTCGCAGAAAACATGACATCCTTAAGGACGACTTTCGGAAAACCAGCATCAACAAACCTGCGACAGACCTGCCAGGGATCCAAACTTGCTGTCCCCGGGTAAAGGACCAAGTCATTTGGCGCGCTTTTGCGTTCCGACGTAAACTGAGGTAGACACGGCTCACTGCCTGGAAAATCCTAGACCTGACAGGGTAGTCGGCTGGCAAGCCGTGAATCCCAAAAGGACACGTCAGCTACGCGTACGCGTAATCTAGCAGCCAAAACATACAGACCAGAGGCTGGGGGACAAACCCTAAAGCCTCGCTGAGGCCCTGAATCCCCAAACCCCAAGCAAGAAAAACAATCCACCAACAAAAACTCGACACCTTGGACAACCTGAAAAGTGCCCGCAACCCAAAGCACCTGGCTTACTGTATAGTATGCAGCCTCAATACCTGCAGCCCTGAACTTCGTCGTTTCGAGCTTTCACTAGTACAGCATCTACACGACTGCCTTCGACAAGTACATACGGATGCTTACATGCAGCAAGCTTGATTTATGCGTCGATTCCCATTGTGAGAACAGCTTTTGTTGGTCGGAAACTCTTTGATTCTCTGTGGTTACACGTCGTGCCAACTGGCGGGTGACCAAGACTGCCAACAGCAAGAGTCATCGTCAATAACAGTGCACCGAAGGCGGACAGATGCTCACGAGGCACACATCTGACCAACTGCCAGAATGCCAGAATCCATATGAGCCACAGAACACCTACACCGGACAACGGGGGCGATCGCTTCCACTCTTGACGGCTCGTTGTCGCGAACAAGCAATGGCTCCAAAATACTAGTAATTAGTTTGCAGCGTTTCACTCTTGATCCTGGCTTGCTAGTTGACTCAGTCTTCGGGAATGTTTGGAGTTTTGACCGATCAGTAGCAACCAGATTCTTGAGAACTTCCACTAGAGCTGTGCAGAAAAAGCCAGGGACGCGACGTCCGATCCATCGACGGCGTTGCTCTGCAATGCCCCGTCCGTCTGCGCCTGACTAAACACACGGATGGCATGGCGAGACCGGCGAGACCTGTGGCCCCATTTAGCTGTGCGTTCTAACACTGCCGGCAAGGGAGCTAAACTCCAAGGCTAAAGGAGGGGGGCCGCCGGGACGCGACCATAGCAAGACTCCAAATTCAAAGGAGCCTTGCACGAACCCTCTGGGCAGGCAAAACTTCGGACCTCCAGTGAAATCCCAGCCGTTGCGGCCGCCAAAGCAGGAGCCTTGTTTCCCGACGCAATCCACATCGCTCTAGGCTCCAGCTGCCATACCATGTGTCCAAGCACCGGGCATCATTGACTCCATCTCCGACCATGACGAGTCCACCCAGTGACACGCCGAGAAGACCCAAGAGCCGCGCTTGCCACCTGATCTGGTCTGACTGCCACTGGTAGCTGGTGGCTGTGCTCGGGGCATATGCAGTAGCTGTTTCCCTATTGCTAGTTGCCACACTGTGGTTGTAGCTTCGTTGCATTTGTTGTGTTCTTCTGCGAGCTTTGACCGTATCTCTGTCGATGAGTCACACTGTGATGGTGCACGATCGCCTGAACATTGCCCGTGGGGGCTTCAGAACAACATGCTTGCTGGTTGAATCCACGCTTAGATCCAGGCGATCCCTTTCCGGCAGTTTCTCGGAGTAGGGTGTCGTACAGTCTCACCTGCGCCAGAATCTCACGCTTCAGATCTTGCAGGTCATGTACAGTAGATTACAGTAGCATAGCGGCGCCACCCTTTCGAAGCGAGTCCGGCGACCACCTATGCCACCGACCTGCTGCACTGCAACGCCCGCTTCGCCTTTTCGAGCTTGTCTTCTGGTCTCAAGTCCGCGTGAACGGCATCGAAATTGGCCGCGCCTGACTCTGCGCGAATCGGAGCAGGGCAGCAGGGCTCGGTCGAGTCCAGTTTCGTGCCTACTTCATCAACCACACTTCTGGCATTGGCATGGCGATCGCCGGTGAGCATGTAAACCTGGGCAATGGATGGGCGATCGCGATCAGGCAGTCAATAGAGCATGATGTTTTAACGCTGCAGGCAGCTCTTTTGGGGAAGTTTGACTGAGGCGCCGGCAGGACCTCCTCGGGAAACCTGCCGTCACGACCCCGCTACAGATCCGTGAACTTTTCATGGGTTAGGGGCTGAACAGGCCACTGAAGCACGCCGCGAACACAGCCCCATACAGTCCCCTGACCTTGTATGATCCTATGGACAGCTGCTTGCTGTAGCAAAACGAACAGCTTAGAATAGGGATGCGACCTTGTTGTTTGGGAAGCCGAAGACACGTGTATTTTGCACCTTCCTGCGTTTATGTGGTCTGTACCTTATGGCGTGCAGCTGACTGTATTGTGTGACGTCTGTGCCTCAGCCTAACTACAAGAGATTACAAGAGATTTTGCGGGAACATGGGCTGCTCGTGAGAGTCAAGTTGTTCATGATGCAGCACGCATCCACACCTAGGCATTATTTCATTTACTTGAGAAAGGAGGTATGTGGACGAAAGCAGGCATCTGGTGAAGACATGGCATAGCAACTGGGCCTGCCTAGCCGGTCGACAGTTCCGGGAATGCACGACAGTCAAAAGTGAAGCTCTTTCCTGTTTCCTAGTCTGTCTTACAGCACTGAAAGGAGCTGTCAGCAGTTTCTGCCTCACAGCTAGGCAGCGCTTCTGGGCCTCTGCCACCACAGCGGACGCTGTTTCTTTGACGCTGTCCTCTGCTCGAACAAAGCGCTGTGTGGCATGCGACAACAATCCTCGGGGACCACCTGATGTCCTCATGCGCCTCTGAACTGCTACCACAGGCACTCTGTAACTGAGTCAACCAAACTGGCTCTCCACTGTGACAGGAAAGCTGCCAATGCATCTGCACACCGAGTTCTTACCGGCATCTGCTATGGGCTCCTCGAAGTGAAACAGCCAGGCTTGAGCCTGCCATGAGCGCAGCTTGGGCTGACGGAGAAGCAAAACGCACCACAGCTCCACGTGCCGATTCAACCGATTAAGGCCTCCTCGTCTGGCGACCACACCGACAAAGCCATCACCACGCTGCCAGTCTTGGCCACCTCCAGCTCCCACCGTGGCCACCAGGACTCATCAAAAGAGACGAAAAGTGACATGATACAAACAGCCGAAAGTTTGAATCATCTGCCTTGGCTGCTCGCGACCGCAGCGCATGGACCAAAGCCTCGGAGAGCTCGACATCCACCCAAGCCCGTCTTTTTGGCAGGCTGTACAAGGCATAAGCATTCAAGTCACTGGTGACACAGAACTGATTCAAACTGAGCCCGATTCGTGGCTGCTTCGCCCACTTCCTGTCCCAACAACTAATGACATCTACTGGTAGTGTAACGGTTGGAGGTTTGATGTTTAGACCAAGAAACAGTTCATGTGCATGTAGTATGCCCATCCAATGCGAAACATCACTTCGATGGAGCTTGTGATGGATTCTGCAGCTGTCAGCCTGCGACTCTGGTCGCCTGGCCTTCCACCTGGTTCGCCACAAACTCCGGACGTCCCATGGCCTTGCTGAGACATCTCAGACAACTTGCGCACCAGCACTAGTTAGCACCCGGTCTCTGTCACCCTTCTGCAGACCTGTGATCGAGCCAGTTCTCGCCACTGCATCGCGATCCGGGGGGAAGCCAAAGCAGAGGCACTTGCCCTCTACACACCACCCGTGTCCGTGTGGAATTCTCTCTTTCTTTGGAATGCCCTTCTAGTTTTTTGCGTCGCAAGCTTGGGCTGGTCTGGAACCGTGGAACCGAGCCACGGCCATATAAGCTTGGTCTCAGGCGGCTTTGCAGGTGACACCTCCGGTGTGACGAAACACATGTTGCAGGATCCCTTCTGATGCAGAGGTACTTAACACTTACCAACGAGCATGTCAGCTGAGCACGTGATGCTTCGAACGCAAGCAACACTCACACCAGGAAGGCACTGTTGGCGGCATCAAACTTGCGTCAGAGATGCGAGGCTTGCCAACGGGTCTTCGCAGCTGAGGCTCCAGCCGTTTGTGTTTGGCAGCAAACTTCCAGTGACGCCTTCACCAGCGACCATTTGGAAGCCCGTGACCTGTACAGCGCAGGTGTGTGTGTGTGTGTGTGTGTGTGTGAGTGTGTGTGTGCTTCCTGTGCGTGAATGGCCGCAGCGGCGGGCCGCCTGGAGGGGATCCTTGTCTTCGGGCAGCGCGGCTACGGCTGCCCTTGAAACGGGATGCACGGACAGCCGTCCTTAGCGCTGGCAGTTGCGTGCAGGAGGATGTCTGGAACTGCGTCAGTGTTGCGACAACGCTGGCACCGGGACTGGTGCCAAGGGAAGCAGCGCAAAGGAGGGCGTCCACTTCATGCTCGCCCTGAGAAAGCTTGTCTGGCTCACAAACCGTCTGGACTTGCTCGTCAGTTGTCGGCTTTTTCTTCCAGCTTGATGGTTTTGCCAAACGACTTGCTTTCTTGAAGTTGGCAAGGCACAAAGTGTTGCACGGATTCCCTCTCTGCGATGCGAACAGTGGATCCCTATCATGTCATGTTCACTTGGCGGCTGTCGGCTCTAAAGCAAACACAAACAGACACACACACACACACAGAGACAGACATGCGTACATGAATGTATGTATCAGTGTATGATACACAAACTTAACTTATGAATCCATTTCATCGATTATCTGCTTGTCCAGTGATCACGTGTGTTTACTGTATGTCATATGCCGTCTGTTGCTCTCGGCTTTGTTTCACACGGCTGACATTGGCATGGCCAATGCCGCAAAACGGAAAGCTGCTGAAGCGAAAGAGCCGGGTTCGGTGATGAAGTGAATAATAATAATAATAATAATAATAATAATAATAATAATAATATTAATACTAATAGTAATAGTAATAATAATAGTAGTAATAATAATAATAATAATAGAATAGTAATGGCCGACCCGGTCTAAAACCAGCGGGCCTTGGACTTGGCATGTGCCGACTCGCTGTCCACGACTTCCTGGCGGCAGATTTCACATCTTTCAGAACACCCCAGAACCGTCTCTCGTGAAATCCTCCAAACTCTGCAGAACTGGCGTGCCGGTCGTCAGCGTCCCAGTCCTCAACTCTTCAATGCTCAGGGCAGCCCAAAGCTTCTGGGTAGTGTTGGGCTGCTGGGCTTAGCACTTGTCAAAAGCCACTCCACTTGCCACTGCCAGAGCGTCCAGAGTGCGTCCTCCTTTCAGCAGCACCTCCAATCAGGAACTAGTCACTAGTCTCGTCTCGAAATTCACAGGCGCGACTGCTGCAAGCAAGTCTTGGTGACTGTGCACCCCATTGCGTGCAGCAACAGAAAGGCCGGAGAGGTAGACCAAGGGCGTCGAAAGAATCAGCCTGCGCCGTTGGCCAAGCTATGCGCCAACAGAGAAGTGGAGCAGTCTTGGCGCCAGGCGCGCACGGGGATGCGGTGATGAGCCAAACCAGAGCATGGTACACCGACCTTTCGGTGCGTACAGACGCTTGTGCTGCCGTGCTTGAAGAGTTGCACTACTAGTTGGTTGTCTGCGGAAGTGGCCTACCAAGTGGCGCTCGAAACAACAGCGGTGGCAACGCCTTGCAAAGCGCAGCACTACTGCAGCAAGTCGTCGCATTTCAAAGGTTTGGATCTGATTCAACTGAGCGTAGCTTGAAATCGAACAGCCGAATCGCATCGGTGTCTTGGTTTTGGCAGCTGGGGTCACACATCGCTGCAGTCTTGCCACTGGGACACGTCTTACGACCGCATGAGCTGCAAAGCTTAAGCAAGTGGCCGCAACGAGGGCGGTCGAAATCACCACAGCAAAGGACCAGCCTGAGATTAGCCAGTCAGATAGCCACGACGACACGACGGACGATGCTTCAGCATTGGTACGTCAGAATCTGTGCTAGTGCCATACTGTCTCGTCATTGCAGTGGAAAGGGCTTTCTGAGAAGCTCACGCTCCGCTACTGCATCCACAAGAGTCACGAGCTTCGGTCGGGAGGCCTTACAATCGGGCTGCAGCGAAGCTCACAAGAAACCTGGAAAAGCAGCCACAGCAGAACGCAGGCCTTGGCCGAAGAGGTGAGTTTGGCCAAGCCTCAGAAGCTCAGAACTCGCAACAAAAAACGCACCTGCTTTTGAGAGCCCGGGCGCTGCAGCGTGGATTCTCCGGCCTCTCGCTGCACCTGCAAAGCCACACGTCTCTACACGGTCGGCTGCGGCGGCTGCGGCGGCTGCGGTGCTCTGCCGGTGCCTCTAAGAGCAGCGCCCCATCAATGAGAGTCGCCTCAGAGCCAGAGCCCCCGCGTGCCGCGTGCAGAGATTGGCTTTTCAGACATGCAGAAGACGTCAGCAAACTCGGGGCCCCCTGCTCCAGAACTCACCGAGTGCCCAGGGCGAACCGCCTTCGACAGAATTTCCACAAGATTTTGCGTACAAGGTCTCGGAAATGATCGGGCAAAAGTGGATCCACTTGTCACTTGGGATGTGAAGAATGTGTTGCGCTCAACCCGTCTTTTGCCAAGAGACATGCTCTCATCCAGAAATGACGCACACGCACAACCGCCGCCCTCGCTATGTTCGAAATGCTTGAACCGGAGTCGATGCCACACCGATGTTCTTGACCGAACTGGCACGTGTGGAATCCCGACCAATCCCCATAGGCTCCAAGATGATTTCCCTGCAAGGCCTGCCTGTGGCAACGGCTCACCCGTCATGTGGCTCATGCCTTGCCACTTGCCAGCGAGAATCACGAAACCAGTCTCCAAACCAAGAAGATGTGTGTGCAATTCTCGGTCCTCCCCCCCCTGGTCGGGCCTATTTGCGAACATCCATCAATTATTCGTCCATCGACAGGAACCACCTGCACTGCTAGCCAGCCCAAGCTCACGGGGCTCATGGAAAGCAGAGAAGAGCCATGGCAAATAGAGCGACACAGGCAAAGCTAGAGCATCTGCAAACCCTTAAGCTGAAAGACACACGAGCGCTACTTGTAGGCCTCTCCGGCTCTGACGAAGATGCGATCGCCGGCACGCAAGTCTAAGACACGCACCTGGCAAGAAAAGTTGGGGGTCCCCATGTGGGGCCCTGGCGCTGCACTCCGCGGTGCTCTGACAAAAGACAGCCCTGGCCCTGACCTCGCGGCCCTGCTCGGCATCCGCCAGCGTCTTCACATGAGCATCGAGGCGCCGGACAGTCTCCGGGCCTTCCAGAAAGCGAGCTGCGCTTCCGGACTGTTGCTTAAGCTTACCATACTGAGACACCACGAGTCCTCACGCTGAGGTCGGGGCATAAGCTGCCGAGAGCATCAAGAGAAGCTTGAGCTCTCAAGGAGAGTTTTTCCTGTGATATCGGCGGCCCTCACTCCAAACATAATCTGGAAATCTGAAGCATCACGAGGCACACATGCTTTTGCTTTTCTGATTTCTCCGCTAGCACATTCCAGTGACGAGCTGCGATCGGGATAAGCTCCTTTCTGCTTGTTTCCAGATCCGATGCAGCTTCTTGTGCGCAGAGTCGCCTAACATCACCTAACTAGAGTAACTGGAGTCGAACTTCAGAGAGCTTCTGCCACACACCATCGCCTTGCAACCGCCCAGTCTCAGGATGTGCGTTCGGCTTCATTTCTGCAGAACCTCTCTTGATTCTCTCGATGCCTGACCGGTCTCCGAGCTAACGGAATTCACCCGGCTCAGGAGGACAGTTAAAAGAATACAAGAATTAAAGATGCTGTCTCACATCCTGGGCAGCGCTCTGCTGCCCGACACGGTGTCTGTCAGCAACCATCACGCTCCACCGTCAATTCTCATCGGACAAAGCAATAGAATTTTTCTCCTCAGCCTGACTTACCCTACAGGTAATCTTAGTCATTTCTTTCATTTTCCAAAAGTGGGCAGAGTGCGATGCTAGTTTGAGTTTGCTTCTCATGCGCTCAAGCTGAACAACCTACACCAAACTATCTGCGCCGGTAGGTGCCAATGCCCACCTCTGCAGCAAGAGTGGCAAGGTCGGAGATCCTTGGCTGTGGGAGGCCGACGACAATCTCCCTCCCGAGAATCGCGGGGAAATGAATGGGTCACAGCCCTGTCGCCTTCTTCAACAAACTGTGCCAACCGGGATGCAGGCTTCACTCTTCTTGAACCCAACTGAAGACAACAACCCTCTAGCAAAGCATACAACTTGACCCAAAACTGTGCTACATTCACGTGAAAGTCTACAGACACCACCAGGCTTGCTCCAGGCAAGTATGATTTTGGCGGCTTTGAACAGCTGATCGCATCGCATGTGGCCAAGATGCTTCTCGGTCAGCTGCCTCATCTCAGGCCTAAGATTTCATTCAGGGTCTCTTCGTAGAGTTCAAGTCTGCGCTTGCACGAATGTTCACGGCTTGCCATTGACACTGCCGAGCTTCCCCAAGCGCTTGTTGCTCGCCTCCACCTGAATACTAACAGACGTTGAAGCGAACCGAAGTAAATGGGAAGGTCTGGGGACTTGCCTGTGTACCAAAGTATAAGTCCCGTCTACCCCTGTTGTGCCAAACAAGCTGGTCTTCGTGATGCAAGACGGCCATCACCAGCGTGCAACCGTCAGTCGTCGTAAGAACTGCGTGCAACTGCCGCGGTCGCTACATCGAGGCAGCACAAATTTACACCCTTGCAGCCACTGCATCATCTCATCCCTTTCCATGCGGGGACTGCACAACTTATCTGCGATATCCATCATGAGCTTGCTGACAGGCTGCTTCTGCCAGGTGTAAGATTTGCCTGTCCAGAACGAACCCTAAAGATCTCTTCTGTCTCGCAGTAACCTGTCGCGTTCTTCCAGCCTGTGCAGGACTTCGACAGACCGGTCCAGGCTGTAAAAGTCGGAGTCTTCAGAGTCTTGAAGCAAAGGTCGCGTCAGGTCTCTACCTTCGGCCGTGCAAAGGAAGTCCGACACCCCAAGCAATCTCGCTCACGGCCTCCTCCGTACACGAACTTCAAGCCATTTTCCTGTGCAGGGCCGTGACTTCTCTGTGGGCTTCAGACTGCTCAGGTAGCAACTCTGCGATGTCTCGAGTTTCTTCTGTAGCATTGCTTCACAAACCTATGGCTGCGCGGTCCTTAGCAGGGGAGTCGTCCGGCCACCCGTCTGAGGTGGAAAGGGCCTTCTCCTTCTGCAGGATCTTGAACATCCCTCTTTCCTGCACTGGAAGACTCGAAGCATGAGCCACCAAACACTGAAACGAAGCCGCAGGGCAGATAGCAGGGGAGGCGAACTCAATACTGCGGAAAGATCAACCCTAAACTCCTAAACCCTACCTGATTCATGAAAGTGCAGGCCTGTCGACGCTTCTGGAATGCCATGCCATGGTTCTTCTCCTAAGGCTCACATGATTACCCGATGTTTAACTTCGACTCTCGAGTGGAGATCTTGGCACCGTGCCCTTCTCTGCTGCGACACCAGGGAAGGTCTCTTGAAACCTTAGATGCACCGTTCAGGTCAATGCAAACGGAGTGTAAAAGACACCTCATATGGCAATATGGGTTTTTGTTTGGGAGGCGTGATCACATAAGCTCGAATTAACTGAAAAAGGATGCTGGAGAAGCCAATGCCAAGAAGCCGATCACTTGGATGCCAGCTCTGTGCATAAGCCAGCGCCATCGCTTACTTTTGAAGACTTTCCCTTCAGCAGAGCCGGCACAAGCTTGACATGGGCTTCATAAATGGAACCTGCATGCATGCGAGCATCCCCATTTGGGATCGCTGCCATCGATGACGAAGCCGAACTTCCAACCCTGCAGCATCGGCTTTCAGTGTGCCAATCGAGGCCATTTTCTGGCTGCATGCCAGTTATGGCCCAAAGGCTGTGCAAACACTTGTGTCGGTGTCTGCATGCAGCAACCTCGTTCTCGAAAACAAAACACAGCAGCGGAGAAAACAAGAAGCACCGTGCAAGGGAAAGACCTCTCGCAGGACCATAGGCAAGATCCATCGACGCCATGCTGGAACAATGATGCCTCGAATCACTGCAGATCTGCGCACTAAATACACCGTTTGCAAGCAGGAGTCTGGGAGGCAACATCAAACTCGAGTGGCCCTGGGAACTGCCGAACGATACACGATCTGGAGTGCCCTTTAAGCTTGCTGACCGTGGCTGAGATGCACCGGTGAGCCCCGTGCATTCTCTAGTCTCTTTATTTCGTATCAGCTGATTCTGAAGAATGTTCCTTGTAGGCCTTGGCTGTTATTGCAAGTCAAAGCAACAACCTTTTGGCGACTCTGATCGTCACACACAGAGATAGCAAGAGTGAGAGAAAGATAAAGAAAGGGCAGACTTTCAAGCTTTAGCAAACTCCGGTTAACACTTGGGATCTTGGGCTATGTGCCCGTGGCAGCCGAAGCCACGTTATCATCACACAGACTCTTGTGGTGAAGACCGAAAAATTCGACACACTTTCCCTGAGTCGGACAGTTTTCTTGTGTTGCACCTCGGCGAGATGGACCCTGATGGCTGCAGAGACAAGACGGAGACAAGAGAACCTGTGCTTGCCGTGATCAGTGCGTGTTCGGTATGCTGGTGTCTTGTGCTTCAGGGTGTGAAAACCAAAAGCCGTGGAATATACACTAGGACTTGACTACGCAGCAACCCTTTGCGGGATCCATAGCTTGTGTTGCGAAACTGTTCTGCAGGTCGAGCTGTGGAACTTGGCAGATAGCTGACTGACCACAAAGAATCTAAGATGGCGACGCTCGGATGACCATAAAACTCGCCAACCCAACCTACCACAATTCCAATTCTGCAAGCCGACAGAACGGTTTCCTTTATCGTCGTCAGCAACCACATCTCATTCACAGTCGGGCATCGAACCTCGATATTATCTCTTCGACTTGAAGTTAGGGTGCAATGTAGAACGGCACCCTGGTCAAAGGAGCTACAACAGGAGAGGTGAACGAAGCCAAGTCTTGCATGTCAAGTCGCAGATGCATGCAGCTGCCAGGGCCAGCTTCATCGCCAGCGGTGGCACTCGGAAGAAACTGCCCTGCGCTGCTATAACCTGTGAGGAGCGGCGATTTGCCCAAAGTTGGAACTACTCCAGCAAGTTCCCCCGCCTCTATCGCCCGATCGAAGCACTGTTCCTCGGCTGTGCAAGCAATGAAACCTGGAGTTTTGGTCGAAGAAGCCGCACGTTTCAAAATAAGACATACATCGTATTTATAAGCATGCATTCTGTCTAGTGGTCTCTCGGTTCACGTCTTCAAGAGTTGAAGCCATCCCAGTGCTCATGCAAGCTTTGGAGGCATGGAAGGCTTAAACCTCGTTCTGCTGTCTGACTATCTGACCGGGTCACGGCTACGCTTCTTACAAAGCAAGCGCAGGAATCCATAAGCCCCAAGGACTCACACCAATCTGTGTTCCGTGAAAGGCGAGACTTTCAAACACGACTTTCTGCGCTTCTGTCTCATGCTTGGGGCCTCCCTGGGGAATTTGGTCCAGGCATCCCATGCAAAGCCCACCAGGATGGAGTTGCCACCAATGACCTCTCGCTGCATGGTGCATGCTTGGCACCCTACGTGGATTACTCTACCCGAGCAGCCCGGGATCGCGCATGCTTGATTATGCCACTTGGCACTGCAAAGGAGCATGCAGCCGGGCCTGTATAATCGCATGATCCAGATCCTCGCCTGTGGCTTCAAGATCAGCCAATTTGTCAAGGACCTTGTATTGGATCGTGTCCATGCACAAACCACACCGAGCCGCCACATTTGCACAAAGATGCTTGCTGGCAGGGCTCCCAAATCGCGACGACAGCTATGAAGGTGACCAGGGCAGCCAGAATCAGATGCAGAATCATCTTCTCCTCTCTGACCCAGGAGCGCGGAGACTTGAGGTCATGGTTAGGGGTATTGTCTCCACAGCCCACGGCAACCGACATTTGCTGCACACTGCCCTCAATCACTCCGACTTCAACAAACCTTGATACGCAGCTGCTATGACGAGTGCACATCTGGCAGCTCATAGACAGAGCTTGTCATACAATGCATAGACAGAGCTTGTCATGCAATACAAAGGAGCTTTGTGATTGGCATCAGGGACATATCCACTGGAAAGGAAGTCCACAAGCTACTTGCACCCCCGTGGTCCACGATGCGTCGGGGCGACGCGGGAAGCGGGCCAGGGACATTTCAATTTCGTGGGAGTGCAGTGCGGAAGTTGCTATGCGATCCAACAGAAAAAACAGTCTCGTCTTTGCAAACGACCGAGACACATTTCTCGTGGGCATGTCGCAGCCCAACGGGATCATGTCGGCAGGCGTGAACAGTCATCTATGTGTGGCAAAAGGACTGCAACAGGTCCACACGCGAGGCTTAGTGCTTGTTGCCAGACTGCTGGGCGTCCTCAGGACCAGTGACGAACAGCTGCGTGGCGACCAACCACTTGCACCCGAAGTACATGCCTGTGTTTTCACGGTACGACTCAGAATCAGTTCTGCAACGAGGTCTTCCCCCCACTTCAGCTACTCGTGTCACTTGCACTTTGACGAGAAACAAGAGTAGCCTCAGTTGCTCCAAGAACCAACGACTTGAAGTCTACAATCGAACATACAGCACTAGAGCATAGCAAGTCCGTTGTCTCCTAACAACGAAGCCCGCTGTCCCGTCTCTGTAGAGTCTCTGTTGCGGTGAGGGCTTTCGGCAGGACCGTCTTTTACTTCTGATGACTGAAAGATGGCGCACGACAAGCTGAATAAGCCAAGGCGCACCAAGCAAAAGCCTGATTGAAAGAAGCCCTTAGACTCCGAGCACCCTACAAAAATGCTGCTTCACTGCGACCAGAAGCATCTTCCGGAGCTCAGAGAAACTAAGTACCGGCTTACAGAAACTTTGCAGCATCTTCCTGCTGCCTCCTACTGTGTCTCTTGAGGCAAGCTGCAAAGCCACTTGGTACGTTCGAGGCTCTTCTCCGTCGCCATCTTCGTTGATATGCAGGCCTGCATTCATTTAGACCATCTTCTTCGAAAGGGCTCTCCGAATCCACCGTCCCACCGAAAGAGTTTGCAGCACAGCAAAGTTCGTCACAGTCCATGCATGTACGTATGTGTCTGTCTGTATGTCTGTAGTTATGAGTATATGTATGCATATGCATGGAGATGTGTATGAAGGCATGTCTGTGCACGTCTAGGTATGTACGTATGTGTATGTGTGTATGTACTATGTATCCATTACGCAGTGTGTGTGTGTGTGTGTGTGTGTTTGTGTGTGTGTGTGTGTGTGTGGCTGTTTGTCCGTCTGCCTGCCTCCCTTCCTGCCGCCCGGCTGTCTGCCCGGCTGTCTGTCTCTGTCGGTCTGTCTGTATGTATGAATGCAGGCGTGTCTGTGTCTATGTATTACAAGTGTAAGTATGTGTATACGTGTTCATGTACAGGTGGAATGTATGTATGTATGCATGTCTGCATGCATGTATGTCTGTATGTCTGTATGTCTGTATGTATGTCTGTACGTATGTCTGTATGTATGCCTCTAGGTATGTAAGCATGCATGTATTTATGTAGATATGTATGCTTAGGTGTGCAAGTAAGTACGCATGTACCCATAAATGCATAGATACATGCATACATGCAGGCAGACAGACAGACATGTGCGTGTATACACACGCATGTTTACATCCGTACATAATACACATTCACAGACATGCATGTACCTGGCTACCTACCTGCCTGCCTGCCTTCCTGCCTGCATGCAAGCAGAAATTCATACGTGCGTGCATGTGCTTTCCGTGTCTATCAGACGCCGTGCAGACTGCAATGTGCATATATACATACACACACATACATATTTACATCACGTATTCATTCGGCTGTTGTTTACCTATTTGCTCAGTGCGCATGAAGATCTATATCCTCACGTATCTCGTGCGTGTGCATGTGTCATCACGCCTGCATAAAGGTCCAAGGCGACGGTACCTGCGCAGAACAAGGCCCCTGCCTTAGTTGTCCAGCTCACGAATTCAGGGTACTTGCGTACAACCCGGCCACCATGGGCCCAACGGGAGTGCCATGCTTTTTGCACGTCTTCGGTCCATTCCTGTTTCACGATGAAAACCCTGGCCAAGCAGCCATTAACAGAGTCTCGATGTCGCTGAAGCTGCGGGTTGTTTGCACCGCCCAGCTATCAAGCCCTGGGAGCCGCCGCATGCTCTCATCCAATGCAGCTTCTAGATTCTGGTATAGCATCGTGAAAGTATAGTGATAGTATGGTGGCGGTGTGGCAGCAGAATAGTCACAGCATAGTGGTGCTTGTAGTAAGTATGCAGTATCAGCATAGTATTGGCCTAGCTTTAGCATGGTACACTGCCGCAAGGCATTGTATGAGATAGTACGGTATAGGACAGTATAGTAAGCACGGTACAGTACAGTACAACCCAAGTATAAACTCAGCACAGTACTAGCATAGCATCAGCATAGTGACAATACTAGTACTCGTACCGGTATTCGTATCAGTATTCGTGATAGTATGAGTCTGAGTACTAGTGAGTGTAGCGTTGGCATTAGCACCAGCATCAGTACGGTGTAGCATAGTATAACATACTATAATATGTAGTATGGAACAGTACGGTACGGTGGAGTAGAGCCAAGTACAGGTAATACTACAAGCCTAGTACGAGAATACTATACCTATAGTATAGTATCGTCCTGCAGTGTAGCTAGACCTGTTTCAGTATAGTATAGCATAGCATAGTACCGTGTGGTATCATAGTCCAAAATTATCTCTAAGTGCCGTAATTGCATGCGGTTCGGCAGGCTTTCTTTCATCCGTTGTTGCGGCATGGGTCTGCGTACAAATATGCATGTGGGCATGTCACTCAGGCCTTCAACGTCGGGCATGTAGCCAGATATCCAGAATCGCACCGTCTGGACCTAACGAAGCCAAAATTCAGTTGACCATGGTTACAACGTGGCCTTGATTGGCCTTGTCACAAGCTTGCCTTTGGTTTGTAGGGAATGGAAGAATGGTAGTAATAGTAGTTATAATTGTACCCCATTCCTCCATTCCCTACTAACCAAAGGTAAGCCAGGGCACAGGTCATTGCTGCAAGCGGCGGTCAGAAAGGAGAGGGTTAACGCCAGCACATTGTCCTCTGGCTCTTCAGCTTCCTCGTGCCACATGACGTAGCACCTTGCCCAACCCTGCTCTCAACACTTCTCCACACTTTACGTGAACTCAGAGTCAGAACAAATCTGCTTGAGTATCCCGCTCATGATAAAGATCTTCCATGCGGTCGTCGTACAAGCTCGAGAAGGTTTTCCAGTTTTCGGCGACCCTTCCTGCGGCTTTGAGGGGCAAAGCTACCTGCTTTCCATGAAGTCCGTGCAAACACACATATTACTTTGCTACGGTAGCACGTTTGCGCTGTTGCTCCAAGTCTCTTCTCTGCTCATCGAAATACCTTCCACGGATGGAACACACCGCGCTTTGTCTGACTGTCTCTGCGTGTGCAAATCATTCAGGCATTGCATGGCTGGAGACACCGGTCAGTAAGCATGAAGTTTGCAATCAGGCCGCCACTGCAACAGGAGAAGCGAGATAGCCGCAATCACCTACCCAGCTTCAGGTCTTCAATGGCTCGGCTCGGCTCCCGGGAAGCACTGGCAGCATGTCTTGCAGCTTCGGCCAAAGGTAACGCGACCAAGAAACAACTATCCAGGCACTCATCTGCCAGCTGCTGCAAAACGCGTCCATTTGTTGGAGAGTTCCAAACCTTGCATGCAAAAGCAGACAGTACAAGGCACCCATCAACTTCATTGCTGACACAAGCGAGAACTCACAGGATCAGCGACAGCAGAGCCACGAATTGATGGCGGCAAAGCCAGCCACATGAGACAGAAGTACTTTCCAGCAAGTCATCTGCGACTGCAAGTCCTGCACAGACACCCCATGCGGAGCACCTCGAGCCTTCGTGAGCCGCAGGAGGCTGGATTTCTTATCTGGTGCCCGTAGAGAACGGAGAACGAGCGAAAGCGAGAGACCGAGAGAGCGAGACAAAGAGGGGGAGGGAATGAGACGGGATCACTGAATCTGCATCGCTGCTCATGTCCTCAATGTGGTCGAGAGGGTGTAGCTGCTGCAGCATGACCTTAGCTGAAGATGAATCCTTCGGAGGATCTGATCAGCCTTCGCACATGTTTATTGTCAGGGCCAGGTAGCATGCTCTGGACTAAATAGCGACGCAACTGCTGTCCAAACCTGGGCCGGTGGCACGCCACACAAAGCCGTGGACGAATCGACGCTGCTTCAAGCTCTAGGGGGGGCGATCTCATCTTTTTCCCGGAAAGCTGGTCACTTTCGCAGAACTTACGCCGACCCGGTGCCGCGTATCCCTGCTTCGACATGCGCGATCGAACTCCGGCCTGAGGGATGATGCAGACAAGGAGAGCTTTCAAACGATCACCGAAACCGATCCGACCTGGTTAGGATCCCAACCCCTGCCCGTCCAGGCGGCTAGCATTCGTCTGCATGGGAACATCAGAAAACCCGGTGCAGTGTGCAAATGGCATGTCGAGCTTAGTGCCAAGATGCTGACACCCTCTCTGAGGAGGGCCGCATGCCTGGAACCTGCGATGAATATCGCAAGCTTTGTGCGACAATCGCAGACGCCGACTAGTATGGCTACTGTGACACATGGCATGCCTCTTTGAGCTTGTGCTTCGCCAGGACGATGGCGCCCTGAAAGGACATGTAGTACCTGTTTGCCAGCAGGGCGTTGAAGGTCCCACGGCGTCAGGGAAGCAAGTCTTCACTCACATCAGGCAAGATGCAGGTGAAATTCCAACGCGCCATACCAAACCTAAGACCACACTGGCGACACACCACATGCCATGCAGGGTCTCATTGCACTCTGAGAAAGATGTGAGCAGATCCTGCATAGTAGTATCGTGCTCCACGGCTGTATCTTCAGAGCTCATCCGTGCTTGGGCGAAAGGATGTGTTCGATCGGTGCATTCAGGCAGCAAGCATCTGACACATCTGGACCTCAGCAAGATAGCCGCTCCTGTTCTCTAAATCGAAGGCTTTGAGGCTAAACGAAGATGCGACATAGGCACCACGAGATGAAATTGTTGAAGGCCGAAGACATTCACAACCTCACACAGGAAAGATCAGACCAGGACTAAACCCGAAACCCTGGACCCTAAACTTCCCCAACCCTAAGAACTCGTTTACTATCTGCCAAGCCTTGACTGTGACGTCGTTCACGTATTGGAAAATCATTACCTGAGAAAATGGAGAAAAAGGCTGTGGGGTTTGGGGTTCAGGCTTTAGGTTAGCAGATGAAATCAGGGAACAAAACAGCCAGCACATGCAAGGTGCAGCACAGAAGATCGCGATGGTCTGACTGATGACTTCATAACTGTACCGTCTTATGTCCTTCAAAGCAAATCACCCAACTTCTCTGTGGTGTATTACTTGGTTGAGCAGGCTGCTTCTTTTTGACTCCTCAACACAGCTAGCACAAGCACACGGAGGCAGAGATCGGGACAAGCCCAGACCGGCTACCCAACTCGACCCGGATGGTCAAGCATGCTGGACGTCCTTGTCGGAATTGTTCGTCAAGTATGTCAGGCACATCAATAACACCATCGCTCCAATCAAAGTGCTGGCTGCACCAACCTGGGACAAGAGCCCAACATTCCGCATGGCACGGTCAGGACGTGATATCTCAGTCGTGTGCACATCCAACAGAGGATTCACAGCAAATGAACCATAAGTCGCATTGACAAGGACCAGGGTATAGCATGCGACTGAGTATTTGGGATTGGCCTCGTTTAAACCAGATTCCGAATTCCGCCCAGTCACGTTATCAAGCATTTCGCCGTCCATCGGCAAAGTGATGGAGACTGCGCTCCACACCTCTGCCGGCTTGCGAAAGGCCCTTCAAACGGCCATGATCACCATCAGCTGCTGCGAGCAGTGCTTCATAAGCTCTTAGGTGCCACTTTGTAAGACCTGGCTGAGGCTGCCTTTTGCCTGGGCATTGGACACGTTCGTCACTGGACATGTTCGTTGCTTCTTTTCTTCGTGGTGAGTTGGGCTAGACTGGAAGCTCGAGCCATGGAGTGAATGAAGGCCAAATTAGCAGAGCCGCATGCAAAGCGAAAACAGCAAGACATGCAAAGCTTGAGTGCGAACCTCAAGCACCTCGGAGAGAGCAAAGAGGAGCAGAAGCATGGCGCCCTCAAAGAGCAACGCTTGAACATGAACAGCAATGATGCGGAAGGCCCTATGTGTGGGCTGACCTCCAGGCCGTGGCCAAGGGCCACTGACCTCAGAGGCTTCAAGATATTCCCGTGCTCATGATCCATCCAAGGGCTTTGTAGGACCCTTGGCAAAGCTTCTTGGGATCATGACGCCACTACCCGTCCCTCGAAAAGACGGGAGTGCTGGTGTGACGAGTAAGGACCACGTCTGAGGCATGGACTGCAGGCAGCAGCAACATGCATTGATGTGCACTGGTAGCTCCAAGAACCCTCTCGAAAAGTGCTCATGCGGCAGACAACTGGTAAGCTGGCGAGGTGCTGTGGTTTAGGCCCTAGGCTTAGCATGGCTTACCTAACGCCAGTCTCAATGATCTGACGGGCACGGTGACAGCATGTCCTCTCTTCAACACACCAAGGCTCCGGCGCAAATGCAGCCAAGGTCATCAGGAAGTGGATGTCGAGTTGGGCCTTGAAGCTTGGAAGCTACTAACAGCAAAAGGTGAGCAATGAGCAAGAGGGCATACAGTGAGGAGCTGACTGCGTTTTGCATGGCTCCCGCTAATGCTGGTATACCATAGACCTGAGGAGGCACAGATAATAAAGGACTAAGAACTTACCCGACACCATCGCCTGACATGTGCCATGCTAAGCACCTGCAGCAAGTTGAAAGCCAAGACACGACGTAGACCAGCACTGGGCCTGCCAGTCCTCAGCAGAAGCTTCTGGCGACTTCTTCGCAGCCACAAGGAATGAAGAACAGCGTGAGAACTCAAGGGAGACACTGGCTTGCGCATGACCAACCGTGATCAAACTGATTTTCTGAGTGTGCAGCGAAGGCTTCGGGACATGATGCCTGTTCCGTGCATGTGTATAAGATTGGATGCCAAAGCACTGCATCTACTCGGGCCTGGCGTCAACTTGACATACGCAAAGAGGGCTGACATAACAAAGGCAACGGTCACGACGGTGATCGACGTCTTCGTTCTGGACAGATCTGAGAGGCGCCGAAGTGCTGGCGCCCCCGGAAGCCAGTCTGGAACCTCGCCGTGGCTGTGCCCGTGCCCGCAGCAACCGCCATGAAGACTACCGTGCCCGTCATCATGGTCGTGATCTGCCACAGCCGCAGCCTCATGACTGTGACAGCAGTCTTGCTTGTGGCTGTGGCTGTGGCTGTGGCTGTGACTGTGCCCGTGTTCGTCGCTTTCATGGGAGTTTGCGGAGCTGGCAACGCTGTGTGAATGCTCGTGGTCATGGCCATTACAATGGCTATGGCCATGCTCGAGATCCTCGTGATCGTGGCTCCTGACGAGAACTTGGCGAGGTCGCCCTTGCCGAATGCCTCTTGGTGCTGTGCGTCGCACACGCCGGCTGACTGCAGCACCTGCAGTGGCTACGGACAGGGCGGCGGTGGACATCAGTCCGTAGCTTGCCACCGGGTCCTGTCCGGCACTCTCTTTCGGCAGATCGGTAAAGCCTGAGCCGAAGCTTGGCAACATTGGTTCCGGCGGATGTTGCACGGTGATGGGCCCAAGTCTCGTCGACGGTTCCATTGCAACACACGGGTTGAACAATCCACAGGTCGGAACACAACGGAGAGATGGCATCTACGCTGATGCGTGCCACTGCCTACACTTAGCTGGACTCGCTCAAGATCTCACTTCTCATGTCGATAAACAAGATGCATGTGATCCGAGACTTTGCGGGTCGCACTCGCAGACTGTCTGGTTCAACCTACGAACGGCCAGCACTTCTGACAGTTGAGCTTTGCAGCGGCAGTTCGCACCTTCTGGGATATGAGGACGGGGCCTGCCGTTGTAACAACTGCAGACTGTAATACACGCTCCATGCAAGAAAGGGCCGAGCAACTTCCCTCCTTTACCTACCACTTCCGATTGATGTCATGTCAAAGGTCTCGGATTCAGACCAGATTTCGATGCACGTCCCAATGTTCCGTTTGTGCGACAACGTGATGCAAAGGTCCACGATGGTCCACAGCTGTGTACTTTGCCTACCCCTATAATAACGGCCTGAAAAAATCGGTAGAGTCGAAAGCAAAGCCGGTGCCGGGGCTTGGTTAAGTTATTGTCATTCGGCTGGCTCTACTTCGCCAGACTTTTTCCAGACGCCTCCGCGACACAATCGCATTGGCGACCCTCTGGCTGAAAAAGCGACTCTGGTGTAGAGAAAGAATACGAACCACTAAGTGAGTTGTCCCAGTCTGCTCCCAGCGCTGTGCCTGGATTGGGCCAGTGGCCCGGGTGGTGGTGTACGGCACCAGTTCTTGCTGGGGGGTTCTGCCCTTGGCTTCCGAGCATGCAGTGCATGAATGCATCGAGTGAACAAAAGAAGGGGCTACTTGGTGCAGAAACGACTGCAGACAAGTCACCATACTGCCGGCGGGAACCTGTGGATCGCCTCGGTTTCTACATGTTGCTACCACCTCTCGGATGCCACAGAACAACCCTTCCGTTCCCAAACATGGGACATGGCCAGACTGGGCTAGACGCACAAAATCCAGGCCAGGCTCCGGGCAACTCCGGATGTGCCTGGGCTTAAAGGCCGGTGGATCCTCGGCAGAGCTGTGTCATCTGTGATGCTCCGCGGCGCCGGTTCTGCCACTGTGCAGAAACTTGGCTTCCGCACACTCGCACGCTCGGGCTGCGCCGAGGAGTTATGGCCCTTGCATCAGGGAATTGCAGGGCGCCTTGGAGCCACCGGCCGCAATAAGTACGAGGGATTTCCAGCCGCAGACTGACAACATAGCACAGTGAAGAAATGTGAAGAACCTCCAGCTGAGGTTTCCACAGCTACCAGCATCACGTTGCAAAGCCTTGAGGTCAAGCATTGATCGATTCAGATCGCACAGTGGGCAAGTCGGACGGACATGGATCGGCATGCTGGACACGTCGCATGCAACAGTTGGCTCGCGAAACATGATGGATGGGGAGCCAGTCTTCCGTAACATCTTCATCCTACTGCATTGCGCTGTTGATCCAGTGCGCCTTGAGTTGTCTTCGCTTGCACAGAGAAGTGGGATTCTTCCTGACTTCCTGTGCCCTCTCGATGATCAAAATGGTCGGGGTTGGATGGATGAAATCGGAGTTGTATTGGGACATCCTGTTTCGAGGGTGGTTTGCTAAAGATGATAGTCTGAGATGCCCTCGTTCCGTTTAGAACAGAGCAACACTGGTCGCACAGCTTACATTGAAAACAAATCTGGCTAGGGCTTCAGTCTCTCGCCCCTTAAGGCGGTTTCAGTTTACATATAGTACATATGTTACATATTAAACTTGTTTCCCCGTACTTCCGCGGAGAGAGGGTGGGAGAGGCTTGATTCCTCAAGTTGTTTTCCACGCACTGTCCTGAAACTCTGTGTGACTTCCATCTTCCCTGGTTCCAGGGTGTTTCGCCGCTCCTTATCTCTCCCTTTCCCTTCCGTCGCCCCCTTCTGCCGTCCTACTTCCGCCCTGCCCTTGCACCCTTGAATTCCATCTTGTTTCCATAATACTTCCTCCGTCCTTCCTCGCTATGTCCTTCTCTCTCTGTCTTCCTCCTTGCGTTCTCGGTTTCCGGGGTTCCTCCGGCCCCCAACCGAGCCGATGTGCAAAGCGAACTCTGCATATTCGAGGCTGAGGCTTTAGATTGTTTTTCAAGAACCCTTCTTTCTACTGAGCAACTTTGTCGTGGAAAGGCGAGATTCAGGGCCATAAGACATGGCAGCTCACCTCTTTATGCTGCCAGCGTCTCCTTGGTTTATCGCCAATTTGTCCTCAAGTTTGTCGCTGCTTTAAAGCTTATCGTCTCCTTACTTTATCGCTGTCGCTGTGTTGTTCTTCTGAATGGGAGTTTCCGAAAATAGGGGACCCTAGCATAGTACCCTAAATAGTAGGATGCCTATTATAAGGACCCCAAAATAAGGTACCCCTCATTTCCGGAAACTCCCGAATGATTCCAGGAAAACACTGGTGAATCAGGCAGATTTCCTCGCTACTTGCTCAATGCGGCGAGGTATTTTTTACATGCTTGCATACCCTGATAAAATGACAATTATTGCAGTGTCCCTGTCCGAGCTTGTTTGCTCCGGGGGAGAAGGGCATGCGGCATGATGGCAAAGGTTCCAGATGAATCAAAAGGAAACAGACGGACGTCGGCTCCCCGACAAAGAGGCATTGACTCTGACGCACGACTGCTGACAAGCTGGTCACAAGAATTAGGGGTGTGGCAGACTTCGCTACAGCGCCGCGGCAAGCGCCAGCCGTCGGCATCGGTGTTGCCTGCCAGTTGCCGATGTTTCGACCGAGGCACTAATTGCGGGCTTCCCGGCTCATGTCTGCAATGTACTGTGCATGCATCCAAAGAAGCCCCACCTTTCTCGCGCGCTTGTTACGATATTTGTGGCACACTGTGCAACACACTCAGTACTAACAGTACTACACAGGCTTCGGACGATGTGACATGAGTAAATGCATGTTCCTGCCACAGCATGTGACCGAGCTCGCTTCGGCTTCGACGCTAATACGCGAATTTTGGCCTCATTGCGAGGTCGCGCATCGTTGATGACAGCAGCCTCTTGCACCGTCCCTGGCTGATGCGGTGTAAAGCTTCGGAGCAAGCTTGCTGATGAGTCTTAATAGTTCAACCACCTTCGAAGACGCAGCGAAGACTTTGGACTTTCGTCGTTTGCCCACGTGCTCTCCGCGTTAGTCTCATGACCCAGTACTGTACCTCTTTGAGGTGCACGAGTCGTTGTCGCATGGAGCTGCGACCGTGGAAGAGCCTACTTCAAGGCTGCGCCAGATGCCAAGACTGCCAACGTTGAACCGAGCGTACTGCATCCAAGCACATGATGCTGTGACTGTAACGGCAGAGCTCATGATCTGGCCACGGCGCGCACTCAGACCATCATATAAACGTCACACGGCGCCCGTGTTGGTCGCACATGCTTCTGTCAGGAGTCCATCCCGAGAGAGGCCAAGCTAGGCACGTTGCACAGCGTGGAGCTCGCTGCTCATTCGATACGTTTCGCCCTTCCAAGCATCAGGGTCTTTTCGGGCGTGCGACCTCCAGCTCCACGCCCCCGAAAGAGCAAGACGGCAATTTGCTGTCTCTCACGCTTTCTCACTGTGGCCTTGTATGGCTGAGCTGTGAAACATACCACTGAAAGCAGACTTTGAAGTTGCACTCAATAAGGGTACCACAAATACAGACTGAATAGTTCCATCCGTGGCAAGAAGTACCACAGCCAGGAGCCTACCATCAACACGCTTCAGACGGAAGACCAGCATCTAGCCTTCCAGGGCGACACGCAACCCTCTCTATCGTCAATCAGAGTCTACCATAAGCATAATGCTACATCCAAAAGTCCTGCGGCTGTGGCATTGCCGTCGTCACTCTCCGCGGCATCGCCAACCTGTCATGGCCAGGCTCCAAGTGCGATGAAGGAAGCCCCGGGTCACCCGCCAGCAAATGGAAGAGAGGGAGAGAGAGAGACAGAGAGAAAAAAAGAGAGAGAGAGAGAGAGAGACTCGAGGGCGATAAGGAAAGCAGCCAAGGCTATCGAATCTCACAGAGCTGAAAGCGCGTGGATGCCACGGCCTAAAGTTCAGCTCGAATATGTTGAGTCTACCAGAAAGACGGCGAACAGGCTTGCCGCTTGTCAAAGCGATGGTCCGTGGACCGCGATCTAAGCTGACTTAGATGCAACGCTGGCCCACCGGCGTAGACTGGCTCGTGGGTGATGGGAACGAACTGGCATATCCTGGCAAGCAAGGCTCCCTGCTGAGCAGGTCCTCTCGACGAGCTTGCGGTGTAAAGGAAAAGAATCAATTTATCACATGTGCAGACCTTCAGAGTCCGACTCGAAATCATCTTCGAAGTCCTGCAGAGGGAAATCAAAATGGCGGTCGATGAACTTGATGCCATGCTGCTTCTGCTTCTTCTGCTTCTGTGGATTGTCTCTCCCGCATGTCAGCACGAGCCTCGATGTCCTCTGGCTCTGGATTCGCGACGCCTGATGTGGCCTGGACGTCGGCCTGCGACGGCACTGGGCAAAGCCGTGCAAGGAGGGCAAGGCAAAGACAATGCATGCCAAACCAGATGACATCTGTGGCTTATCCGTGAGTGACTTCACCGCAACAGCCTAATGCAAGCAGACTGAGAGTAACTGTCTGGCAAGTGCCCGAGCCGGGTCAAGAATACAAGAAGTTGGCTTCCCAAGTCAGCACCAGGGGGTTCCAAACACGCCACACCATCTGTGAAAAATGTGGCAGCTTGTTAAGGTCTGAGTCAGTTCTCTCTCGCTGAAGCTGCTTATTCTCTCACAGGTGTAGGCACGTGCCCTGTGATGAACAAAGGAGCTCTGACGCCGCACCTTCGCATCTGATGGCTGGCTCGTTGGCTTCTTGCCTTGCACCTCGTCATTCTGCCCTTCACCGTCGACGTTGTTGAGGATCGTAGGCTCGACTTCAGTGCCGGCCTGGACAGCAGGTATCCCCACAAACATGCAAGCACCCGCAGACATCGCACAGAGAACCTCCCAGAGACACATGCCAAGCCTCCTCTAAGAGTGACACAGCCCTTCCCTGATCAGAAGCTGGGTGGCATTGGGTTGTGCTGGGATCTCCCCTCACAGACGAAGTTGTCTGTCCCCAGCCCCTCGATCTAGAGTCTTCTTTTTGAAAGAAACAATTTATTCCTGATTATTCTTGTTTTTCTGCTTTCAACTTTAAACCCTCGAAGCATCTGGTGTGGCTTGGCGGGTCTTCCATTCGCAAGAAGGCGCACTAAGGCTTGATTACTCTCATTTTTGTTAACCCCCCTGAAGCGTTTTCGTGTGGCTTTCTCGTTCTTGTCTGCTGGAAGGACGGACGTTTCTTTAGTTCTTTGCGGCTTGATTCTTTGCCGTTGAAGAGATGTTTCTTTGCTTTCAGCTCCCTGAAGCGCTTTCGCGGCTCTCTTCTCCTATGTGAGCCCCAACCCCACCCGACTTGCAAGAGGGGCCACTTAAAGCCTTCTTGCTTGTTGGAGAAGACATTTCGTTCCAGATAGTTATCTTCGCTTGTTAGCCCCTGACTCGTTTTCGTGGGCTCTGTTCTTCTTATGGAGGTGCATAGCCGCCTTATTTGCAAAGAGGGGCTTAAGGCTGACTGTTCTCATTTTCTTCGCTTTTAACGCCCTGAATCGTTTTCGCGTGCTTTCTCCTTCTTGTCTGTTGGAAGAAAATTCATAAGCCATAAGCTTCGCGGCGCCTTTTGCCCCGGTTCGGATTAACAGCGACTCTATCTCTAACCTTCCAGCTCGGGCTTGGGGCTCGGGTGAGCTTCGGTTGTTGCCTCGGTTCACTCCCGTTGCAGCTACACACCAAAGCCAGCAATCCCTCTTGCAGTGAATTCTGCGCCTTTGTGCTGGTCGCCGGGATTTCCGGCTTCTTATCCTTCCCACCACAAGAAAGGCAATGCCTCTTCGCAATCAAAGCTGCAGCTCACCCGCCTCTTCTGGACCGCCTGCCGGTGCGAGCTCACCAGCCGCATCGACCTTCGCTTCTGTCTATCTGTGTCTTGTCTTGGGAAGAAACTCTAGCACACCAACATCTCATGCCTGCAAGAAATGGAGCGACATGTCACGAAAACCCAAAGATGCGTTTTAGCAGCGCCTCTTCGTCCGAGGAGAGCTGCGCCAGGTCCCCCGATGCCAAGCGGCTGGTCTTTTGCTTGTTGACCTTCAGCTCCACGTGTGATCCGGACTCCGACAAGCTGTTCCCGCCAGCGCCTGGAGACGTCCGTGGCCCTGCGCTGCACAGGTTTTGAGTGTAGAGCCAGGGAGACTGAAAACACGACGGACGAGCCGGTCTGCATGCTGCAGCAGAAAGCATGTCCAAACAGCCACGTGCCTGCGGTGAGTCGGGCCCCTGATCAGACCACGACGCATGCCATGGCTGTTTCACATACCTAGTTTGAAGGCGGCAGGATGCAGCAGGCCTCCATGCGGGTCTTGACGGCCCCCGTTTTCACCCGAGCCTCCCGCTGCATTCTGCGTGTGCTGCACCACAGCTGGCTCGCTCTGACAGAGGCCAGCGCCACAAGCCCACCGCTGCCTTCCTGCCGGGTCATGCGGCCACGTCTGATGCCCTGTCTTCGCCTTCTTAAAGCAGCCTGCAAAGACGTTGCAAGCCACGCGCCGGTCCTGTGTGCCGGGGTCGAAGGCCACGCGGTGTCCTGCAGGATCGTTGTCCTCAGCCTCGGGGCAACATGAGGCATTGCTCGCTCTCGCTGGATTGCAGCCTTCTTTGGACTTTGTGCTGCTATGCTGCCTCCTCATCATCCGAAGGCAGCTCTGCGATGCCGACAAAGCCGGTGCCGCGCCGCACCTCGGCTTCGCCGGAAGCATGGTGGGCTCCGTTCATGTTTCGGCGCAAGATGGCGCAAGACTTCCGTCCTGTTGCCGGCCTACACATCACACGAGGCTCCGTTTCTTCCCCTCTCAAACCGGGTACGCATCTTAAACACTCCTAGCTTTCCAAATCTGTAGCGGCCCGCCCACTACTCTCACCATTTCACAGAACTCATGCCGCCAGCTGCACCCACCGATCCTCGACCAAGACCAAAACCCAAGTGTCAGCACTCGAATTTAAGCAGGGTGCTGCCGGCCCTGCATCTGTGCCGGCCTGGTCAATTCTTCTCATTCTGCAACATATCTACTGCCGGTTGCTTGAGTGCCTGGGTCGAGGGATCGAAGACCACATGTTTTCGGTCACCTTCCTCCTCCTGCCACAAGACAGACGCTGCCTGATATGTGTTTATGCCGAGTCGTGTCCCGATCCTCGTCATCCGAGGGAAGATCGCCCACATTCACGAAGCCGGTGCCCTTGCGTGCCTTGCGAGTCTGGTTTCCCTCTAGAATGAACAAAACCTTCCAGCACGGAGACTAGGGCAAATGCCACAGGCTTTCCCTCCCGTTCTCTTTGAGCCTCCAGCTTTTGAACTATCCAGCACGGCTGCTAGAGCAAACATCTGACACCATGCATGTGTCTGATGAAAGCTGCGGTAGCTACCGTGTGAAAGCGTGTGCTGGGCAATTCCTCTCAGTTCGCTTGCTGCAACGGTGGACGCCTCTTCTGACGGCTTCTCGAAGCCAACCTTTCTCCGTCCGGCCTCCCCCGCCAGGCTAACAGAAACTGGCTGTGGGGCAGCTGCACAGCAAGCTTCAGCAAGATGCTCGCATTGCTTGTCGGGCCTCTGAAGACCCGGGCTCGTCCTCCTCTTGGTCCACGTCTTCTTGCAGCACTCCGTAGTTGTCGTCCTGCCACAAGACAGACCGGTTTCAATTGTGTTTGTATACTCAAAGTCGACACCTGTCATCTGTCTCCCGATCCTCATCATCCGACGGAAGATCGCCCACGTTCACGAAGCCGGTGCCCTTGCGAGCCTGTCGAAGAACGTCGTCTTGGAGATCTTCGAGCACAGCACGGAGACTGAGGCAGATGCCACCGGCTTACTCTTCCCTTCTGCTTCAGCCTCCAGCTTTTCAGTACTTCAGCTCTTCAGCTAAATTAAAGCAATTTGAACGGCCGATGATCCGATGAAAGGCGTGTGGGAGCATGTGCAACGGTGGACGCCTCTTCTGGCGGCTTCTCGAAGCCAACCTTTCGTCGTCCGGCCTCCCCACGCCAGGTTGACAGAAAGTTGGCTGTGGGGCGGCAGCACTGGAAGCTTCAGCAGGATGCTCGCATTGCTCGTCGGGCCTCTGCAGACCCGGGCTCGTCCTCCTCCTCTTCCTCCTCCTGGTCCACCAGATCGGCAACGTCTTCTTTTCGCAGAAATCCTGTGCCCTTGCGACCCAGCTCCTCACAGCGACGCGATGCCTTCTGACCCTACGAAGCAGTCGCCCGCCCGTCCCCCGGCCTTCCCTTTGCGAGCTTCCTGCAGGCAATTGCAGGTGATCCCACTTTCACAAAAGCCGCCGCCGACAACGACAGTCGACAGATAAGAATTGCTTGCGCTAGCTGTCCAAAACGGTGTACACGAAGGCCGGATGCGGGGTCTGACATATTGGGACAAGGAAAAACATGACGGCAACACTGGGTCCTAGCTTGGACAGCTTGGATGCTGTCATTTGCACTCTATTGAAGAACATTGCGACAGCTCGATGCAACATTGTAAGTCGCAACCATCCACCGTAAAGGGGACAAAAGCTGACAGCACCACAGCAATTACCCCGTTTATTCGTCGTTCAGCCCGCTGTGCTGCAGTCTGGTCATATCTCGCGTTTTGGTCGAGGATGTGTGTGGACTCGCGATTCTAGGTCCAGGTCCGTAGGTCAACATTTCTGTAAGAAAACTCGGTGCGCTGCACAGTTTGTTGGACGAGGCAGCTTCAAGCAGCAGATGTCCTGTGTGCCGGGGTCGAAGGCCACGCGGTGTCCTTCAGGCTCGTCGTCCTCGACGAAATGCTCTCGGCTGGATGGCTGTGTTCTAGCTTGCAGCCTGCCCTGGACGTTGTGCTGCTGCGCTGCCTCCTCTTCGTCCGAAGGCAGCTCTGCGGTGCCAACGAAGCCGGTGCCGCGCCGCACCTCGGCTTCGTTCGGCGCAAGACTTCCGTCCTATTGCCGGCCTACACATCACACGAGGCTCGGTGCGCGGCCGCTGGCCCGGCATCTGTGCCAGCCTTACAGAAAAGCAGGAGAGACACGCCCAGTTCCGGAACACCCGACCACCCCCACTTGCCTGCGTTGAGGGATCGAAGGCCACATGCCTTTGGGAGTCAGGCTCCTCCTCCTCCTGCAGTGCAGGCGCACGTGACGCTCGTCGGCCTCTCTGCGTCCCGCGTTCCGTCGCTCCTCGTCTGAAGGTAGGTCGGCCGCACTCACGAAGCCCGTGCCCCTGCGAACCTTGTCTGGGCATTAGTCAAGCACAACCTGAACTTCAGCCTCAGGAGCATCTTCAAAACTGGTTTTCCACCAAAGCAAGCATGTCAAAACCCAAGCACCAAAGATCGGAGCTTGTGGTGCACTTCTCCGTTTCTTCCCCTCTCAAACCGGGTACGTATCTTAAACATTCCTTGCTTTCCAAATCTGTAGCGGCCCGCCCACTACTCTCACCATTTCACAGAACTCATGCCGCCAGCTGCACCCACCGATCCTCGACCAAGACCAAAACCCAAGTGTCAGCACTCGAATTTAAGCAGGGTGCTGCCGGCCCTGCATCTGTGCCGGCCTGGTCCAATTCTTCTCATTCTGCAACATATCTACTGCCGGTTGCTTGAGTGCCTGGGTCGAGGGATCGAAGACCACATGTTTTCGGTCACCTTCCTCCTCCTGCCACAAGACAGACGCTGCCTGATATGTGTTTATGCCGAGTTGTGTCCCGATCCTCGTCATCCGAGGGAAGATCGCCCACATTTACGAAGCCGGTGCCCTTGCGTGCCTTGCGAGTCTGGTTTCCCTCTAGAATGAACAAAACCTTCCAGCACGGAGACTAGGGCAAATGCCACAGGCTTTCCCTCCCGTTCTCTTTGAGCCTCCAGCTTTTGAACTATCCAGCACGGCTGCTAGAGCAAACATCTGACACCATGCATGTGTCTGATGAAAGCTGCGGTAGCTACCGTGTGAAAGCATGTGCTGGGCAATTCCTCTCAGTTCGCTTGCTGCAACGGTGGACGCCTCTTCTGACGGCTTCTCGAAGCCAACCTTTCTCCGTCCGGCCTCCCCCGCCAGGCTAACAGAAACTGGCTGGGGGGCAGCTGCACAGCAAGCTTCAGCAAGATGCTCGCATTGCTTGTCGGGCCTCTGAAGACCCGGGCTCGTCCTCCTCTTGGTCCACGTCTTCTTGCAGGGCTCCGTAGTTGTCGTCCTGCCACAAGACAGACCGGTTTCAATTGTGTTTGTATACTCAAAGTCGACACCTGTCATCTGTCTCCCGATCCTCATCATCCGACGGAAGATCGCCCACGTTCACGAAGCCGGTGCCCTTGCGAGCCTTGCGAGTCTGATTCCCTTTCGAAGAACGTCGTCTTGGAGATCTTCGAGCACAGCACGGAGACTGAGGCAGATGCCACCGGCTTACTCTTCCCTTCTGCTTCAGCCTCCAGCTTTTCAGTACTTCAGCTCTTCAGCTAAATTAAAGCAATTTGAACGTCCGATGATCCGGTGAAAGGCGTGTGGGAGCATGTGCAACGGTGGACGCCTCTTCTGACGGCTTCTCGAAGCCAACCTTTCTCCGTCCGGCCTCCTAGGCCAAGTTAAGAGCAAGTGGCACCCAGATTCGGCAGCATGCAACTTGTCTGTTCAAGATAGGGAGGTGCGCAAACCGGTCCGATAGGAGCGAATCATCAAAACGATCGAGTGCAGATTTTGATCACAAACAAATCACGGGGCCGATTCGCTACAAGTATCTGGAGCTGGCTATAAAAAGTACCGTTCAATGCTCGAGGAAGCACGGAGTTCAACGCAGAGAGGCTTGTCTTTTAGCACTCCGTGCCTCCTCCTCTTCCTCCTCCTCCTCATCCACCAAGTTCTCCACATCTCCCGCATGCAAGAACCCAGTTCCCTTTCGAGCCACGGCCTCATGCTCAAGGTCACAGACAGAAAGAGAAGCAGATGAGAAAACCCAAGCAGCGCGAACCAAAAAAAGTCCCACTCCAAAGCCTCAGCACCTGACACGACGTGGTTGATCTTCGGACTCCTCGCGTGTGGATGGGACATCTTATATTTGCGAACTCACGAGCCGGCTGCAGCGCGCGCGCTCCTGAGTCTCACTTCCTGGTTCGAAGCTTACTGCTCTGTCTCCATGAGCCATCTGCTGAGCCTGCAGCTCTGCAACCCACCCGAAATGTGTTCGACCCCTTCGAAAACTTAACACCTCATGCCACGAAGGCCTACTGTGCGAACCGTACCCACCCCAAAAAATTGCTTATTTGATCGTTCACGTTACAGGTCAAACAATGTCAAACATGCAGCCTGTGCGATGCATGACACCACGAAGCAAGGAGGGATACAAGAACATTCGCATGTCTGTATGTGCCAAGGCCACTGACATCAAAGAGGGATGAGGAAACGTGAGAAAGCTGAGAACATCCGCCTCGTCAGCTTCCTCCTCCTCCTCGGAAGCCAGATCCTGCAGATCCTCCTTGCGCAGGAAGCCGGTGCCCTTGCGACTGGTGACCTTCACAGAGAAGTTGTGGCAATCAAAGCGCGACATCGGGCTGGCAAGGCAACTCCTCCTACAAGTGAGCAGGTCATAGTCACAGCTGTGGACTTTCAGTTTCAGTGTGCAGCACCTTCGTACCGGTCTTCGGGATTTCCGGCTTCTCATCCTCACCGCGATAAGACAAGAAAATGCCTCATCACAACACCGTCAGCTTGCCTCTGCTGGGTCGAAAGACGCTCGCTTTGCTGCTTGGCTCTCCACGGCCACCTGCGAAAGACGCTCGCCAGGCCGAAGGTCTCACGCCGCTCGTATCTCGCACCCTTTCCCGAGATTCTCTAAGCCAAGCGCCAAAGTGGAGCAAAGAGGCAAGGCATCAACGGCAACGGAACGCCATGGAACGTACTCCGAATTCAAACATCGAGGGTGTACAAGGTCACGAAGGCCCCTTTCTCGCGCAAGAGCGCCTCTTCGTCCGAGGAGAGCTGCGCCAGGTCCCCCGATGCCAAGCGGCTGGTCTTTTGCTTGTTGACCTTCAGCTCCACGTGTGATCCGGACTGCGACAACCTGTTCCCGCCGGCGCCTGGAGACGTCCGTGGCCCTGCGCTGCACAGGTTTTGAGTGTAGAGCCAGGGAGACTGAAAACACGACGGACGAGCCGGTCTGCATGCTGCAGCAGAAAGCATGTCCAAACAGCCACGTGCCTGCGGTGAGTCGGGCCCCTGATCAGACCACGACGCATGCCATGGCTGTTTCACATACCTAGTTTGAAGGCGGCAGGATGCAGCAGGCCTCCATGCGGGTCTTGACGGCCCCCGTTTTCACCCGAGCCTCCCGCTGCATTCTGCGTGTGCTGCACCACAGCTGGCACTGACAGAGGCCAGCGCCACAAGCCCACCGCTGCCTTCCTGCCGGGTCATGCGGCCACGTCTGATGCCCTGTCTTCGCCGAGTCTTCGCCTTCTTAAAGCAGCCTGCAAAGACGTTGCAAGCCACGCGCCGGTCCTGTGTGCCGGGGTCGAAGGCCACGCGGTGTCCTGCAGGATCGTTGTCCTCAGCCTCGTGGCAACATGAGGCATTGCTCGCCCTCGCTGGATTACAGCCTTCTTTGGACTTTGTGCTGCTATGCTGCCTCCTCATCATCCGAAGGCAGCTCTGCGATGCCGACAAAGCCGGTGCCGCGCCGCACCTCGGCTTCGCCGGAAGCATGGTGGGCTCCGTTCATGTTTCGGCGCAAGACTTCCATCATATTGCCGGCCTACACATCACACGAGGCTCGGTGCGCGGCTGCTGGCCCGGCATCTGTGCCAGCCTGACAGAAAAGCAGGAGAGACTCGCCCAGTTCCGGAACACCCGACCACCCCACTTGCCTGCGTTGAGGGATCGAAGGCCACATGCCTTTGGGAGTCAGGCTCCTCCTCCTCCTGCAGTGCAGGCGCACGTGACGCTCGTCGACCTCTCTGGGTCCCGCGTTCCGTCACTCCTCGTCTGAGGGTAGGTCGGCCGCGCTCACGAAGCCCGTGCCCTTGCGAACCTTGCTGAATCTTGCTTCTCACTTGGTGTCAGCCCTTGGCGCTGGCAGCAGCCAACGAACACACCAAGCCGGGCACCACCGGCCCACTTTCCCTTTCACTTTCAGCCTCCGGAAACAGCGTTCAGTTAGCATCTTGCAAAGTTTCGTTGAAGACGGCTTGCGCAGGAGTGAGCCGAGGACAAGGCACCAAGAGTTTGATCATACCAAGGAGGCAGAATGCAAACGCAAGAGTACAAACGAAAGCCGCAGTCACGGAAACACTGCTGTGTTTGCACCTGTTGCTCTGCACTTCGTATTTTTTCCTTGCCATTCCTTGCCCAAATGTGATTGACGACTCTGACAATGACCACCGCGGCCGCCGCTTCCACCACGCGTACTGCCACCCCCACCTTTGCCACCACCACCACCACCACCACCACCACGACAGCCGCCCCCGCCGACACTCAGCATCAAAGGACTTGCTTGGAGCTCTTGGCAATCGACTCGAAATCACGGCATACCCAACCCATACACTCAAGACCGGCGAACCTTGGCAGGTATGGCAAAGGACACGGGTCGTTGTTCTTCCCGGCCGGCCTGAATTTTGCAATCAGTGCATGCTGCAGGGCAGTCAGGCCAAGATGCAGTCAGGCGTAGCCTCTTCTTCTTCGTCGTCATCCTCTTCCCCGACGAGGTTCTGCACATCTTCTGCATGCAGGAACCCCGTGCCCTTTCGGGCCACACCCTGCCAGTCGATAGTCTCCAGTAGTCTCACTGAACAGCCGTAATATCTGAGCACCTGACCCTTCCCTGCTTGTTTGCCGCCTCTTCCGGCTCCTCATACTGTGCTGTTTGGGAGCGCGTGCACTCATTGCAAGCAAGAGCCACCAGTCTTAGTCTTGCTAGCTCACACGCCACTGCAAGCTGTACTCCTCAATCTGACTGTCGTCGAAGCTTACGGCCTTTCCGTCTTGGTTGACATCTGCGACATCCGAGCCCTGGCGCGTCTGCGCCTGCGATAGCGGGCAACCATTCACCAACGCGACCCTTCCGCCGCCATGCCTGTGGTTCTTCCTGCGTCTCCTGCGCGTCCATGTCCATGTCCTCAAGAGATCATGAAGCCCGACAAAAGATGATGATCTCTATCAACCTTTACATGTATATACATGGCTATGGGAGAGAGAGAGAGAGGGATAAAGTTAAAGAAGCAAAAAGATAGAAAGAAAGGATAGATAAGGATGGATGGAGGGAGGAATGGAGGGATGGAGGGATAGATGGATAGATAGACAAATAGACAATATAGGGCCACCGTGGACGTAAAACTCATGCCAGTGCCCCGCCTGGTCCACATGGAAGACCTCAGCACAGATCTGCAGAATCAGCATACATGATGGCACTGACAGCCAATATCACTTCTTGAGATTGGGTGGACTTGAAGCACCAAGTGCGGACTTTGACGTAAGGAAATACATCTCGACCTACTGAGCAAAATGGCATAATCGCTCGCATACTCGCACTGCGGGCTGCCTCATGTTCGTTCTGTTTCATTCTTCTCCGTGTCTTTCGGGCCTCATGGGAGTGCTGGACGGACGGCCGCAGAGCAACACCTCGAAGGCACAGCCATGACTCAAAGTCCGAAAGCAGACTGGGAAGTCGAAAGGGTGCAAAGCATCTCTACAATGACATACCAGTGTCGTCTGAACTGCCTGGCTTTTGAGGCCGGCGCTTCCACCTACGGCACGGCGCGGCCGAAGCCTCAGGCTGATGAAAGAGTTACAGACGCCGTCACCAGCACTTCTCTCGTCCAAACTTCGATCGAACTCGGGTCACGGCGGCGTCCCATGGATGGTTAAATCGGCACAGGGCCTGGCCAAGGCCCATATGGGCTTTCAACCGAGTGTCACGAGAACTCACATCGATTATGAAGGATCCAGCATTGCTTGCTTTCCGTCCCTGTCTTCGGGGCTGACACCGCACACGCATTGATCAACCACTGAGCACACGGTATAAATGCTGTCAGTCCAGGGGCAGATTTGAAAGTCCTGCTGTCCAGCATCGCTGTTAGCTTGGAGTGAAACAGCTGTTGTTTCCTGATGGTAGAAAAGCTGCGTTCCCAACTTGCGAAAAGTCTGCTGGCTGAAACAATTGATTCCAACATGCTCTGGCCAGTGCATCCTGTTTCTGCTTCAGGGCAAACTGTGTGACATCGTGGCTTTGCGTTAGTTTTGCAGACCTGTCGGCTGCCAGATGATGCCTTCAGACCGCAACCTCGAACCCTGAAACCTGATGAGGATCACTACGAGTAGCTGCAAAACCGGATGCCTGCCGGACGTCCAAGCCAGCATTCCAAAACTGCAAAGAGTCCCCAGCACCGCAGTGATTGATACAGCAACGCTCTCATACAGAGGAGGTGGCGTCAGCCAACAAACGGACCTGCTGGTCGTGGGAAAGAGCTGCTCGCTGAGACTGCTCTCTATCTGTCTCTGTGTCTCTATCCCACGCACACATTCCAGTTTTGGTGGGATGCAAGATACTTCGGTACATGCAGTTAAATTATTCGGTATAATACTCTGTGTGTGTGCGTGCCAGATGCTGCGACTGCATCACGAACAAACGCGCACCTGTCCTTCTAGCATTTCCAAACTGGCTCTTTCAAGATCCTACAAACGCTACAAGTAGCCGGCCTGGGCGTGTCCAGGCTTGCGTTGCTCTCTTGCGTGCCTGAGGCAATGGTATTGGGCTTCTCGGTTCTCTTCAAATCGAGGTTGGTCGAATATTGGTGTTGATCACGATTTTGGGACCCGAGCCAATGCTGTCATCACAAAGCTTGATCCAGTCAGGCAGTTCCTCCCGGCCACTGCATGTTCAACAACATGTCAAAAGTGTCCGCAAACCCCGGTCCCCGTCGGGCTCTTCCTTGCCCAGGACTGCAACCTGCAAGGCAGGGCAAGTCTTTGCAAACCTGCTGCAGCCACTTGGCGATTTCTGCATGACCGTGGGCACCTCAATCAATCGACGAGTCCTGAGTGCAGCATGGACTCGACTCAGCGGAATTCCGTTTGCTCTGAGACGTCGGCATTCGAGCCAGCATGCGCTCCAGGAACGACCTTTGGAGGTGGGGAAGGCGGAAAGCTGTAGAGAGGCCGTTGTCCTGCTGTGCAGGCCAAAGCACACGCGGCTCTCGCAGCCCGGGCTCAGGTTCACCTCGAGGAGCCACGGCTTCATTGCCTCCGCAGCTTTGCAAACACGACCCCTGTGCTTAAGAGTGCAGCGCGGCAGCGCAGGCCTCGTCCACGATGAGGTCGAATCCGAAGAGCTCGAAGCTCTCCGGTCGGGGCTGAAGGTTGGCCTCCACGGACCGCATCACCTCATGCCGGGATGAAAACCGTGAAACCATCGACCTTGTCTCTAAACAACTGACGGGTCTTCCTGCCTCAATCACGATCTGCTTGATCGCTGGCAGTAAGACTGTCTCCCAATAGTCCTCACAAGTTTCGACTATGCCGGGGCTGCTGGCCGAAAGGAACACTTACAGTCTCACGGCCACAATGCTTCTTCCACAAGACCAGAGATAGCTATGCCAGCAGTCGAAAAGGCTTACCGCCGGCGCAGGGAAGCGGCAATACTACTGTACTGGAAGATGAAACTTGCGGAAGGATTGATCCACCGAGTCCTCGCGATCGGTCAGTTCGGCAAGCTGCTCTCTGAAGTCTGCGAGGGACACAACGGCGCCCTCCACGACATTCTTCCCGTGCCTCGAAGGGCTTGCCAGGATGATCCAAGGTTGCGCAAACATTGTATCGCGTTAGGCTACCTGCTACATGGCCCTGAGATGACGGTGCTTCACTGTGAGGGCTCGATTTCGCAACAAAAAAAGCCGAATGCCTGACAGGAGCTGCTCAATCTTCAGTGCAGCCGAGCATCTTGTTCACTTGCCAGTTTGAAATGTGCCTCTCCCGGTCCCGCAAGTCGCCAAGATCATACATGCCATTGCAAAGGCGCAGATAGCATTCACTGAACATGAAGACTTTCAGTGGACGGACCGATCGCACCAAAACCCATTGTCTGATGTCGAACTTCCGGCCACTGAACAGCAGGAGCGGCCTCTCGATGTACTTCTGCACCAATCGATTGGGCATGCGGTCGCAATGGTGCAACAGCTCTGCCAGGTTGCTCATACAATGAATTCCACTTCCTTTGCTGTTCGTGCCGGGCTTCACGATCCAGACGTTTTGGCCGGACCAACCTCCATGCAAACCCCATTGCGGGAAGAGTGCCTCCAGTTTCTGCAACACCTCATCGAGGGCCAGCTGCGACTTGTCGTCGAGTTGCCCCCAGGAGTGGCTGAGAAACTCCGGCCAATCCTTCAGATTCGTCGGCCGGTTGCGCTCGCTTCGCTCGCTTCTCTCTCGTTCAGACCGTGGAGTTTCATCCGCCTTCATGTCGCCACCCCCCGGGCGAATCAAAGGACGCCTCGGAACCCGCACGTTCGCCGTGCCTGAGCAGAGCTGTGGCTGCGTCAGCTCGCTGTACAGCACCAGCGCATCCCAGAGGTCCTAAGTACATGCATCAGGAGATGTAGGCGCCTTGTTACGAGTACTAACTAACTCCCCAAAATAGCACGCAAAATATGCACTCACTGGACTAACCTTGCGAAGTCCAACAGCTGCCCTGGATTGTCAACAAGTCTCTTCGGTCATGCGCTGTCCGTCATTGCCCTCTTCATCCAAATGCTTTGGATCAAGATCTAGGCACCATCGCTGAAGGACCCGTGTACATGCCAGCAGGACTGTTTCGTTGCATGAATATACAGAATCGGGGGCGGTCTGCATTGCCTCTTGATCACGATGCAGTCGCTGATGCAGCAGTGCGATTCGCAGTGCAGCAGAACGACGATAATCAAGAACGAAATCGTCTCGTTCACTCTTCTGGGCAATATCATAGCATCGCGGGAAAAAAGCTTCGGCGTTGACACCGCCAGATATGGAATGCTCCTTCAAAGACTGTGCAAGGCCCGCTTTTGTGGTGAGAACCCGGTTGTGGAAGAAATGGTTGAAGTACTCCCCGGCCTTCAGTTCCCGATAGTCCGCCTCAGAGTCCACTGTCCGCCAGGTAAGCTGTGGCTTTCCGGGAAGGGACAACAAGTGCTGAGTCGACTGGGCAATGAAGTCTTCCATCATCCGAGGAGTCTTGGCCATCGACGGCAACTTCGGACGGGGCGAGACTTGCGGTGCCTGTGCTGCGATCATGGGCTTGTTGGTGCCCTGGACACGGGGACCAGCTGCCTGCTCATTTGCCTCACATATCCCAGCCTTTCCTTTCGATCCGGCTGGCCCACCTGTGCCTTCCTCCGCCTTTGCCTGAGCCGCCGGTTGTGCAGCCGCCTTCGGCGCCCCACCCCTAGCGGAATCCCATGCTTGCTGTTGCAAGGGCGCAGTACTGGCCATTTTCTTCTTCTCTGCAGATTCAGGATGTAAGTCGTCTGAAGATAACTTCTTCTGCGACCGCTGCCGACAGGACTTTGCGGGAGGAAGCGTGCGCCTTAAAGGACTTGCGGCTTGATTGACTGGAGCCTCGCGGGAAGTGAAAGAACCCCGGCGCTTATTTAGCTGATTGTCAGAAGCATCAAAGCGAGGTAGTCCCGTCTGCCGCGGTGTTTGACACATTTCGGCTTTCGGCAACCTCTGGAACGATTGCTGGTGTGCACCGGCTGACCGTGGCCGACGCGCCTGACGCAAAGGCGTCACTGACGGAGTCTCTCGAGGCGTCTTGGCCGCCTTTGTCGTCTTTGATGCCCGCACTGGTTGCAGGTCACCGGTTCGCAGCGTGAGGGCCAAAGTTGGTGCCTTGGGCTGGAGCAACTGGGGGGCTGCGATTCGGGCTGCAGATGGAACTTGGGCCCAGCCATAGCCAAACGCGCTGGAGTCGGTGGCTCCGACTTGCAGATCCTCCGAAAATGTCTTCAAACCGCGCAGGAGTGTGCTGAACACCGTGTCTTTGGGTGGCAGCACGTAGTCGTTGGATGGCAGCGCCATTGCATCTGACATCTCATGATCCCAGGAAAGCTTGTTTCCAAGCCTCCAAGGCCTTGCGGATTGGAGCTGGAATGGCTGTAATAATGTCTGTCGATTACACTGCTTTCATGACTTGCCCACTGACAAATCGCAATCAGTTCGAACTAGAGACATGTCCATGCTTGAACCGTGTCAACCTCTCACAGACATTCTGCATCTCTGCTTTCGGGATCTACACACCAGGATAGTTGCTCAATACTCATAGTTCGCAGGCCCACGTCTTCCGCTGGCCTTTAGTAAGCGTCAAGCATGTTTCATATCCTGCCTTTACCAGAGATCCCCAGTTCGGAAGAGGACCCGGGCCAATCATGCCTGTCCACCTGCGACTGCTGCGAGAGCACTTTGGTCCTGCCGAGCATTGTAGTCAAGCATGCAGCTGGCGACGACATTGCTTCGCAAGCACACGTCTTCCTCCGTCGCACCGTGGCACTGACGAGCCACTGGCGGTGTCAGAACTGCTGCCTCGCAGCGCTACGACGCATCAAAAAGGACATTACAAATCATTACAACAGACTCTTATTGAACTCTGTATGCAATCCCTTAAGGGGCCCCGGGCCCAGGCCCTTGGAGAGATGCGCAGCAGGTCAAGAAACCCGGGCCTCTGCTTCATGACTGTGTGGCCGTGAAGCTTCATGACAATCCTGTCGACATATCTCGTCATCGAGTCAGCGCGTCGCAGAGCAAGCGTCGAAGAGTGTGGCTAACTTGTCCTGCAGGGGCATGTCGAGCTTTCGGTCCGTCCTCGCACAGGGGTGCATTATGCGGCTGATGCTATCGAGATCAAGGCTAAAGCTCGATTGTTCTCGCAAACCTGAGACCTGAGGCTCACGCAGTGTGATGACAGTACTTACGGACGAACGCACCTGAAGTACAGATGACCACGCATGTGAGTCGGCATGAGAGCACTAGACTTCGGGTCATGCTTCAAGTAAATCAAAGCTCAAAAGCAGTAGCCTCCTCCGCTTCAGCAGCTTTGCAACCTAAGCAGGACGCACGCATCGTCCGACAGTTACGCAAGCAACCGGGCCGTCATAGCTCATTTCAGTACATCTAATTCAGCCAAGGTGGTTTGCAAGCATCCTGAACGATCTCTTTCTTGCATCCCGAAACAGCTGAGTCCGTTGCGTTCCGAGTCGTTCTCCTTCTCGTCGTCCCGCATCGGTGCCGGCTCCTCGCTGCCATTCTGCCTGGCAAAACAGAAACCGAGAAGAGAGCTGTTTCCATTGAATAGCTGATCAGTATATCTATAAGGAAACATAATTTGGATCTTTTGGGAGGTCCACGTAGGCTCTTGGCAAAGTTGACATATTGGCTAGCACAATGAGGCAGGGAAATGTGACGTGTCACTGTAATCACACCGCTCGCAAGGAACTTCAGCTGCACATTCTTGCTTGCACAGGCAGGAAACTGACAATGTAAGGTGGAGCCTTCGTGACACTGGCGGAAAAAGCTTTGGAATGAGCGAGTCATCGGACCCTGCTGTGATTCCAGACTTCTCATCAGTGGCCCTTCCACGAAAATCAGCACATGCTGGGTTGCCATTAAGTGCGAAGCTGTTGCAACTCGGAGATGTGGGCAAGTGTGCTGTCAAGGAGCTGCACATGAGGCGGTGTTTATCGCATCAAGCCCTGACCAAGCGGGTGCAGCCCTCGACTTACACCGACATCGTCAACCTTTCCAAGCCTTGCCCCTGCCCGCCGTGCCACTTCGGCGATTGACTCTGGCTCCAGCCCTCCCTTTTTCTCTCTTCAGCTCAGATAAACCAGTTGGGAGCACCAGAAGAGTCCACCAGTCATAACCGAGAAGGCCATGCTGGCAGCCTGCAGGGTTTGCAGATGCGTGAACGTGCTGCCACTTCCCCGCTGTCGCACCTCCGCTAAGCTTCTCCGGCGACTTCCGCCGACGGGTGATGCCGGATTCACCTCATCCGCTGTTGGCGCGGCGGCAGCTGGAGCGGGTGCTGGAGCTGGAGCCGCCGGAGCAGGCGCTGCCGCAGCGACATCCTTCCTTGCAAGGACGAAAAAGCTGAGGAGGGCTTCGTCTCAGCATCTTCGTAGCGGCCAGGGCCGGGCCTCGATGAGCCTGGGCGAGGGCTTGGCGCAGGCGGGCGCTGTGCCAGACGGACGGAGATGTCCTTCCACCTGGCAAAGGTGGAACCCTCATCACTTCCTGAAATTTCACGGATCATGCCAGGCGCGGATTGTCCAGATCCCCCCACTGCCGACACTGCCCAATCGGGATCAACGACAGGTCTACCTTCCACTCCAACTCTCGCTGCGACAGACTGCCGAATCAGGAAACACGTCTCGTGTAGCCGATGCAGAAAGCGAGACATCGCTGCTCTGCGCTGCCCTCCTCGTGCAACATGTCTCGGATTACCTGGTCGAGTGAGATGACATCAGCTCCAGAAACTTTGTGCGAGGTTCTCAAACGGTCGCCTCGAGAACATCGCCCACCTGGTGCAGAATGCCAGTCTTCGCTGCTTGCGCGGCTGCGAAATGCATGACAAACTGCCTGCCACCACTGCTGATCTTCAGCAGCACGCTGGTGGCACAGGTGCGCCAAGGACACTAGATCTCCTTAGAAGGGCCCGGACAGAGGGATCGTGCTTGGGCCATGGCATGGGCGGGTCAGCTCGGGCCCTGACTGCACAGCGCATGCAGCAACGTTTGCCTGAGGCCCGCCCGGTTCGCCCACGCAGAAGCCAGAAGGAGGCAGAAGGCAGACAGAAATTCTGGAGTTTTAAGACAGCTTCAGTCCGTGGCACTGAGGTCGGGATGTCTCTGCTTGACAAGTCCTCCAAGCAGAGAAATATTGAGAGAGATGGACCACTCGATATTGAACACTTGAATGAAGCCACAAAGACTTCTGTCTATCGGATCACATCCGGAGCTTTTCATTCCTCGCTCAAGCGCTGGTCTTCTCTCAGATGCCACTCAGATATCCAGCTTGGGCCTTCCTGGCGCGTGGCTCTGCACCACGGCAGCACCCACAGTATCCAGTAACACACTGATGCTTGCCTCTGGAGACGAGGGAAGTCATATGGTGTGCAACAGATATACATCAGCTCACTGGCTTGCAGCCAATGCGCAATCGTCTTGCAGTGATGAGCACATGCCAGTAGAACTGATAAGTCTGGGTTGCGATGTCGTCCTGGCAATGTACGACATACGACATCGCAATCCAGAATTACCAGGTTGCGGTCACGCAAGTCAGAGCCCTGCGTATCTGTGCCATCGTGTTGGCCTTCAATGCTGCATAGGGCCTGCGCGTTGAAGGCCAAAGCGAATGGAAGTCTGGTAAAGCTAGTATGGAAGTAGCCGTGTGTTTGACGAGCACAAGCGACATGCAGCCTCACGTCCAGCTCTTCTGTACCAAACAGACGGAGGACGAGTCAAGCTGTTCCATGCACTCTCACTGGGTACCATCTCCGGCCATGACAATGCACCATGTCGGCCAAGGTGACCACATTGGACAGCAGAATGTTACACTCTGCTCTGCAGCCACATGAACCATGGCGGTGTCGTAGCAATGGCAGGCAACAAACGTGTTGTAACGAGTTGTAGCTGTCAAGAACCCGACCGGCAGCATCGTCGCAACTATGGCATATGACACCTGAAGATGCTAGCATAAACGACCCGAGTTGTGGGTTGTTCTGTTGATCGTAGCCTTTGATGCCGGCGCCAGGGCTGCGGGCTGCGGCTGCATGCTGTTCTGAAATCATGGAGCACGCAGTCTGCTCAGACACGCAGGAACACGCTGGAACGAGACACAGTCACGGCGGTAGCGCAGCCCGAATCAGGTTACGCCTCTAACTGCCGTCAAAGCATAGCACACCACAGTACCTTTGAACAGCGGCTGCGTCGGGCGCAGTCCGGCTTCCACCGCAACGAAACCCGCATCAGTTGGATGCCAACGAGTTGCACATCGGGTGGGAACCTGCAAGTTGACCAGATCCAGGCACGGCCGAGTTGAATTCGGATCCAATCTTAATTTAATCCACTTGTCTGAAGATCCCAGAAATCCCAATCCCGTCAGATCCGTCGGTAGTTACAGTGCTTCAGGGATCGTTCTAGGATCTTGTGTTCAGGGCGGAGGCAAGCATGTCAGACCCCAGTTTGAGATGCTCCCTGCCTCAGGTCACACATGCCAGTACTTCTTACAAGTAGCAGCTCTATCTATCTATCTATCTATATATATATACATAGACTCTATACCTTGTCGTCTGAATTTCGTCTGACATGCAATGCCACTAGCTGTGCTGCAACTTTTGAGCAGCCCTTCGCCTGGACCGCTAGGTCTGAAGCACTCGCAACACAAGAAAGCTTGAGATGAATAGACTCAGAAAGCGGCACCAGGCTGCAAAATATCCAGTAGCTGCAACGCTATTGGCTGTACAGATCATGCAGTGGTCGTGCTGGAATCTGGTCACTGGCCAGCAGAGATGACAACAAAGGGGTGCTCATTGCTGGAACCGTGGTGCTCACAAGCCTTCGGGTTCAAGCTTTTATATCTAAATTGCTTAGATGCATTAAGGACCAAAACAATCCGCTTCATCAGCCCTGGCCGAATTAGACTGGTCGGTCGACTGGTCGACTGGAGCTTTTATTGGCATCCAGCCTTGCTATGCATTGGATGCACGAACCGCTGCAGATCGATGCACCCGCCTAAGCAGCCGCAACCTGGGAGTATCTGGAGCCATTTGAGTCTGTACTTGGGCTCTCACCCAGCTAGAAATGCATTCCTTGGCTCCGATGTGCGAACTTCGATGCTCTAAAGTGCCTCGGTCTCCGAGTGCCGCCGAGCCGCCTGCGCGAAGCTGAAGGCACAGAGAGCCGCGCGCCGGCTCCTGAGTCGTAGCACCTTGCAGTAAGGAGCCGTCCTCCGGTAAAGGCAGAGAACGAAGCGACGGCGCATCTCGTGTCTGGCGCTCTCCGTTCTCAGGGTGGGCCGGACAAGAC